CGGCTGTTGAAAAGCATCTCCGGGGAGGCAGGACTCGCATAAATCGTTGATGCTTTTCCAGGAACTGCATTCTTCCATGAAAAGGGTTTTAAGATAGATTAGCTGTCCATTCATTTTGCTGTGGTCACTGCACTAACTTTATCACAAGCGATCACCAACTCTACAAAAGCTGTTATATAATACTGACGACAAAGTGATGACATTAAGTTGCATTATTGTGGAGATAAATCAGAATAATGTTTGTATAAACTAAACTATCATAACAGTTAAAAACAGGCATTTTACTTATTAATATATTGCTGCTTACTACGATGCAGTCAACAATAAACCAGATAACGATTCTCATTCCCTTTTCTGACCACTAGTAGCACAGTAGACTTTTACTTTCTGAAGTGGGCCCCCGTTTTGTTGGCTTTTGTGCAAGAACACTAAGATGCAATAGACACTCCTGCCAAAAGGTTGATGCTATTCTATTGATCAATAAGTTGTGACAATGCACAGGCACAATGTTGGATCCACCATAGTGATAGACTGGTGGAGGGCATGTATTTACAGTTATATAGTACAAACAAGGCTTTTATGGCTCTTCGGGAAGCACTTCCCTTCATCGCAGACTTTGGCCTATGACACATCGTAGACTTTTAACATGCACAACCAAGCAATGACAAAATAAAGGAATGGGACAAAAGCCAGAAAGAATTATACAGGCCCTTTAAAAGCAACTCAATCAATATCCTGTCATAGTTCTTGTCTCTATCTGTATTGTGTTGGTTGAAATGAAGTCTAGGCAGTATTCAGTCTAGACCCTGGAGCTTTTAAAACATAGACACAGATCTGAGACAAGAGTGGGTGTGGTCATGGGAGCTGACCTGTGAGATGATGCGTCTATTCTTAGAGTCTTAATGCATCCTCTCCCCTAGGGCTGCCTCCCCTTACGTTATTTTAGCAGTGCATCCTAAATGGGTTGCCTTCAGAAAGGTTTAAATATTGATTCACTGCCTGACTGTAAATGTAACTGGGAAAAGCAGGCAGGTATTTTCTGCCTGTGCACATGAGAGGCCTTGTTCTCAAAAACCTTTTGATCAGTAAAATGGAATTTACGATAAAAGGTTTTAAGGGGAGTTAACAATAAACAGATCTTCCTCAGCGGGTTTTCTCCTAAATCTTTTAACAGTATATCCATTAAAGGGTTGTTTCACTAACAGGAAATACATTAAAGTTCCCTTGTGCTTACAGAGACAGTCCAAAATTAATCTAGCTCAAGTATTCACATTAAACCTAGCCTAGCACCAGCCAGCAAAACCCAAAGCTCTGGTCTCACACATTAACATGTAGGTGAATTAGACAGTTGTTCTGCATACTCCACATCTCCATGTTATATCTGTAGATGGTAATATTTGGAAAATCCTGCAGAACTCTTGCACATTGGCTGCTTTTGTTGAAGTATTTTTAAATCCTTTCTAAAGATCTCCTTTTATGGACAATGTCAAACTGGTAAAAACTTTCATTGGCATTTTGAGAAAACACTGAAGCTGCTTTTCTACATTTGAAAAAAAGAAAAACAAGGGTGGTGAACACAATTTGTATAAACAGCAGTTATTGGACCAATGATGCAACACAGGTACAATGTTATATTACAGTGGGTGCAACGAGGGTCGTAAACAAAACACAACTTATTCACGTACATGCGGAGCTTAGCAACAGCAGCTGTTAGGGTGAGCATGGTTTGGCAGTGGTGCTGCGTTTTCGAATAACCTCTACTCTGTGGTCTGTTCTCAGAACCAACTCTGTGGTTAGACTGGCAGAGAGCAGTCTGTGTGTGTGTGTGTGTCAGGACATATAGGCCTTTTTCACAGTATCTTGACATTTTGACGTGCTGCGGACAACATGGACGGTGACGTTCCAGTGAAACACGACGGCGTGACAAGGAGCCGCCGTGAAAAATACCAGGACCCTGAAACTGAAGCAGCTAAATGGAATTCAGCCATAATTCAATTTACACCAGTTCTTTTTATAAAATGCCATGTTAACTTATTTGCTGTGAAAAAGGCTGGTATGGACAAACTCAGAGACACTGCCCTTCATCACCATGGACTAGATTTAATAGGATAGAATTAGGATTTGGTGTAATTGTTGTATCTGGACTGAAAACTATAATGTTTGTGAGCGGTGAGTCATGAGTTACATAAAATCTAACAGCCAGTGAGCGACAGAGGAATGACAATATAGAGAGAAAACAATAGGAAGGTATGATAAGAATGACAGCGGCAGAGAGACACATCCAGATGAACGGCCTGATGAGTGACCTTATACGTTTGTGTCATAGACAGACAGCCTTCAAATCACCACTCGTCTCTGTATACAGTGTAGATTTAGTGTGTATCAGCCTCACTATACATTGAACATCAGAGAAGCTTTAAGGTTTAGTACCCATGAGCTTTTGCATGTTAAATATTGAAAAATAAGTCTATTTTAACCTAAATTATGGTCTTTTCTAAAACTGACCGAGTAGTTTTATTGCCTAAACTTGACCAAGTAGTTTTATTGCCTCAAATTATCCAAACTGCAACCGAAAGTAAAGCCAGATAATAAAACCTTCTGGCACAAAAAACCTGATGGCTTCTCCCAACAGTACTAAAATATCTCCTGTCTTACACCATTTTCACATTTGAATTCAAGACATTGTCTGGAGTTGCCCTTTATCACATGCAGCACACAACCAGTGATTGTCCATGTGGGACACCTACTGGAAACATTCAGTTTGGTTAAAGGCTCCTGGGTGGAGCCCGCAGGACGGAAGGACAGAGACGTCATCAACACGTCCACCCACTCACTGTGAATTCTCCTGATAATGACCAGCTCTGTGTCAAATATCAGATCATCTGACACTATCAGGGTTTTTCATATTAGGGAGCTAAAATTAAAAATTCTGTTTCGACTGTTTTGTATTTGGTCTGTATTTATTGCCATTCACACACATTCGTACAGTGCATCTATGGATAGCACTTTTTCTATGAGGGGCAATTTGGGGTTTGGTATCTTTCCCAAGGAAACTTCGGCATGCAGATGGGGAAGACTGGGATTAAACCGCCGACCTTCTGGTTAGAGGACGATCGGTGGCTGTGGCTGAGGGGGGTATTTGAACATTTGTGTGCGCACACAGGTGTGATGAAAAGTCCAGGGTTGCAGTGCATGCAGCTTTAAAAAGCTTCAGTTAAATAATGCATCCCCTCAGATTAAGTTTTCCCAAACCAGATGCACTGCTGTTCTTTTTTTTCCAACAGTATTTTCTCCAAAAAGAAAAATCTTGTGCATCAAGAAACTGCAACAGAATCCAGAGCTTGAGAAACAATTTTTCCTATTTTCCTCAGGAGAGACACATTTGAACAGCACTTTGGGGGTATCAAATACAGAAATTATGACAAATGGGAATATTCTCAAATTTTGAATTGGATTCTTTGGCAGTTTTTCTTTACAACTTTGAAAATACACTTAACAGACGACTAAAGAAAACACTGTTACACTGACATAGAAATACAAGATTATTCTTTTATCTTAGTTCCATTTTGATTCTTTTATTGAAATCTCTAGTCGTGACCCGACCCTAATTTGGAAACTACGCCATACTACCTGTTCTAATTGTACACTTCACAGTCATAAGCAGATCTATCTAACTATATCAGAATATTCCTGCCAATGTCTTTAAACCTTAAACCAAATACGTCATTGTGATACTGCAGCAAAGGTCAGAGTGAGCTGCTGAGACAATAATGGTTTATTTACAGCCAATTTCTCTAAGAAAAGCCTCACTGACCAACTTAATTATTTTATTTAAATGCATCATCTTCATTTCTCAATACAGTAGAAAAAGGTTCTAAAAATATATAATTTTCAACACAATTGTCTGCAGAATATTTGTCAGTCGGATATTTTAGATATAAAACCAATTCAAATTAAATTGTGTTTAACATGATGTTTTGTATAATATAATTTACTTGTTATTCTTGTCTCTCAGTTGTTCAGGTAGAGTCCCCAATGATTTTGTGTCCATGCACACACTCCCACACACACACACACACACACACAAACACACACACACACACACACACACAACTGTGGTTAGACTTCACATGGCTCCACTTAGTGGGAAAAGTATCACATCCAAAGCAATAACACAAACATGGCAACCCCAAGCCGCCCCAAGGGGGATTGGCACAGGACCTGGCAAGCCATTCATCATCAGGCTCACGTTGCCATATGTCTGCGTGCTGCCACTTTTAGTGATTTGTGAACATGTGTGTGTGTGTGTGGGTGGAGGTGGGTGCATAAGTTTCACTGTATGTCTGTGTGCATACCAGTGAAGTGGCACTGTCCCAGAGGAACGGAACAGGAACTTGACCAAATTTAGAAAAGGATTATCATGTTTCAGGATCACTCTATAGTTAAAGTAATGAGAGAAACCTTCTGTATTTATGTGATGTGTTATTTATGAATGAACAGCCAACTGGAAAGGCATCGAGGAGAAGACACTGATAGGAGAAGAAACCAAGGGACCATCAAGTTACTTGTCCAAGCAGAGGGACAGAAGCCAAGGTTTGTGTGCCAGGACGGAATTGTTGCACTTTCGCTGCAGACGGCAAAGGGATCGAGAAAAGCTTTCCTGTGTGGTCATTACATGGCAGATGGCATTTGATTAAGTTGGGCAATATCAAGTGTGGTGGTGGGAGTCAAAGGGACAGATCGAGGAAAGATGGAGAGGAGGAAACAAGGTAAGAAAGAAAGAATGGATTTCAGTTTAAATCATTGTTAATTACCTGTCAACCATATGGCCTCAGTGGCACGTTATTTTAGAGCTGCCCCGGGATCGATGGGTGTGTATGTACGTGTGGAGATTAAATAGAGACATGTGCTTTTACTGCTTTGCTGAAAATATTGAAAAGTGAGAGGTAGGATGTGTGTCGCTCAGTGTGCGTCCACATTTGCGTGTGTTTTGGTCTTACCCTGGAGATGGTGAGGGGCATGTTGAAGTCCTTCCCTCCCTGCAGCCTGAAGCCCCAGGGGGCTGGGCCTAAAAGAGTGACGCTGTAGTTGCTGCTCATGGTCTCCCCGATAACGTCAAATATACGTTTGGTTGATGTCGCTGGCAAGTGACGATGCTGATGGCAGCCAAAAAAAACACGTTGCACAGATCAGGCGATAATGATGATGTCGCTGCAGGCTTCTGATGATGGGTACAGGATCGCGTGTATCGTCTCACTTTAAGATTCTGCTCCAAGATCTGACGGACGATGAGAGTGAAAGGTACAGATTAGTGATTTGTGATGGTGAGACAGTGGACACGAAAAGAAAAATGTAAAGATTGGTTTTCAAGATGAAGATGATAACGCAAAGTGAGAAGATGAGAAGCAGAAATGTTGGGGAAAAAAATTTACAATCACTGTAGCTACAACAACTTTCAATAAACACAAAATAATAATTTATATATTCAATATATTGAATTGTTTTAAATAAAAAACAGACAATACAAATGTTTGTACACTCTTATTAATGAAAACAAACATATTCACAAGCAAGTATTAAAATGTATTTTTTCTCACTACAATAAGCTGCAGTTGTTCAGTAGCATAAAACACAACAATTCACAGTTAACAAAGGACATTTACAATGAGATAACAATACTGCAACTGCAGCACATTTTCTATTAATGAGTGCTATTATAGTTTGAATGGAAAGGCTGTACCTTTTTAATGGGAAATCCAGAGAGCAAGATATTCCTTTAGCTGAAGGTAGACAATGTTATCCCTAGTTTCCCTTTGACTATCCCCTTCCCAGCAAACACACAGAATGTGTGTGTGTGTGTGTGAGGGAGGTAGAGAGACATACAATGCTCTTATATACCAGCTAATGATAGAGGGGAGGGGAAAGGTGGAGGAGGGGAGAGAAGAAGAGGGAGGCGAAAGGAAGAACGGCTGGAGGTTAGGATGGGAGGAGAGAGGGAGGGAAAAGAGGAGGGGAAATCGCTGGTGGGTGGAGTGAGAGGGACACAGAGGAGGTGAAATGAGGGAGATGATACGAGGGGTGAGATTAGAGGATGGGAGGAGGCAACACTGGGAGGAGACATGAAATGAAGGGGGGTGAGGGGAGATTACAAGGAAAAAAAGAGTGTGGGAGCAGAGTAAACGACAAGGGGTGGGAGACGTGGGAGAGGGAGTGAGGAGAGGGAGTGAGGGGCTGAGGAGAGGGGATGGTTTATCTTTCATCCAGATATTTTGGGAACATGGACTCAGAGCTGTGGGCTGTTTCGTTTAAGGTGAAACCAGCCATGACCCGAGCACCCGTCCCGAAGGCTTCAATTAAAAGGTCTCTCAAAAGAGTTCTTGGAAGGATACATGACAGTGATGGTGACTGTGTATGAACTCAGGGTCACCTTGTCAAAGCTGATTCATGCGCTGAAAATTATCCAGATTTTTCTCTGGAGGGGCTGTATGTGAGAATGCAGCAGGAAACTGTCCCGAAAATTCAAAGTGAGCAAGTGGGTTTGTTGATGCAACAAATAGGAATACAAAACAAAAGAAAAGCAAATATCTAATGATGAAAAGGGGTGTGAGAGCTTTATGGTGATTAAAGCCTGTGTCAATGTGCTCTAAAGAAAACATGTGCCTTCTGCAGCAGAGTTTATACATTGTGTCCTGCCACCTGCATGTTCTACCCAGACGCCACCTCTCGCCTGAGTGTTCCAGACATTTTCCTGTTGTTGTGAACGCATCTGACTCCAACAATCTCCTGCTGCGTTCTTCGTATGTGAAGAAAAACTCCAGGAGATGTCCGGACCCAAGGGTGAGATTCTTTGCTTCAGCTGAAGTCACACTGACATTGTTAACACCTTTAAATCACCATTAAGTGTCTCTGTCACTTACTTCTTTTTCTTTTTTTTTTACACCATTTTAAATGCTGTTTTCTATATTGTATAGGTCCTGACTAAAATTGTATAACTCTACAGTTAGACTTTCATAAATCTTCCTTTTCCTACATATCTACTGTGCAAATTACCTCTTGGTCTCAATGAATTAACAAAAAAGCATAACCAACTAGGTCGCTGCCACAATATTTCATTTCTTCGATGCATGCAAGTAATCTGGTGCCTCGATGCAGCGTCATCATTTCCTTTTTCTTAATCCATTTCTTCATTATTTATGTCCTGACAGCTCAGGCACTTCTCCTCAACTCTGCGCTGGCTTTAGTCCATACCCTCCATTGCCCAGACAGATCAATACAGACGTATTTAGACTGATATAAGTAGTGGCTCAATAAAACACTCATACTGCTCGTTTCTTGGCCCAGACCACACACACACACACACACACACANACACACACACACACACACACACACACACACACACACACACACAGTAGGCTCCATCTTGCCAAGTCATAGCTCTGGACTATGTTCTCTGCAGGGTTAGTTATAACAGCCTGGTGAGTTCACAGTAAAAATACTCTTATAATATCATTTATTTTGGAAAACCAACAAATATCAATGGGGAGATAGAAAGAACTTGGACATAAATTTAGGGAGAAAAGATGCTGGACAGCGATATGAAGATAAAACAGAGAGGGAGAGAGTAACATTCAACCTCTGCACCATGAAATGATTCTAACACGTTAATGAGATAACATCATGATGGACAAACAGTACAAGAAGATTAAATACAAACAGGACAACAGGATGCTTTTCATTAACTTGCTAATGAACACTCCCACAGTGTTTTTCTCACACACACACACACATACACACACAGTGGCTTTGTATATACTGTATATATATATACATTTTATACTTATGATTAACTTAACTGGTGTTATTTTTTCATACCTTGCATGTCAGATATTTCAGAGGTCTGATAAGCAACCGACACAATCTTCAGACCTAAGTTAAAAACTTTTCTAAATAAACGCTCTGTTATTCAAACCGATACGAAGCATTGCGGCAACAGAGCCTGGTCTAACACTAGCTGGGAGGAGCAGAGACGCAGGAGTCATTAAACCTGTTTCCGCTGGCGGACTGATGGAGGGGGCTAATGTAATCACTGAAGACACTGTGTTTATTCTGTGCTATTGTACAAATAGTTGCTCGTGCTCGTTGGAGAAGATCTAACTGCATCTTTATTTGGGGAGAGGACATGGATAATTAGTAAAAACCCTGTTGAGCTCTTTTGATCAGGCAGTGGACACCACAGGACGTGACCTATTCTTGGACTGCCCTGTATGAACCAGGTTAGTGTCATCATTCTGTGTTGTGAAGAGGAAGCCACTCTCAGCAGTGATTTACCTCCATCATCCACCATCATTGTAAATATACTGAACCCATTGACTGTATATCAATATGAACGACACATCTCAACGTCTTCTCACTGTCCAAAAACGAAGCCAAAATATCCCACATATATAAATACTGCCATCTTGTATATCTGGAGCCAGAATCTGCACAGAGCCGTGTTATCGAGCTGATTCAAATGCTCCACTATCTCAAGTTATCCTCTATGATTATTTTGAACATAACATAACATTTTTAAAACTGCATGTCTAAGGTCAGGGGTCAATAACAAGACAAGAGGGAGAGTGACAGGATCATTAGGTGTGAAAGGGAGCTACTACTATTAGTATATGTAAATAAACAGGGGACAGACAGAAAGTGGAACTGGAAAGAAAAGAGTATGTATTATAATGAATAACAAACTGACTAAAGTCTGTGTAAACCATGTCCTCAATGACAAGATAGTTTATTACAAAACTCCCCATGGCTATTTTTTTCAATTTTGATCTCCAGGGTGTAATATGTGAGTAGATAAATGAATGTCTTCTTCAACACGAAGCCCTGCAGTGAAGGTGAAACTGTCTCTGGGTAAATTATTTTTGGTTTAAATTATTCCCCTCAGATTTTAAAGAACAAACCAACAAGATAAACAAAAGGAGTCCATCTTGTAGAGGGGAGACAAATGTTGGTTTAATCAAAGTGGAGCGCGAATTAATAGATAAGCTGCATTTAGGTCATTGTCTCATTCCCATGTGACGAGATCTCTGGTTTTGAGTCCCATGAAGATATAATTTCTAAAATATGGGCCCTCCGTTCAGCCCACCGCTCTATTTCAATGTCTTTAGAGACTTGATCGATTGCTTTTATTGTCAAAGATGGCCAGTGGCCAAAAAGTGTAAGAGAGAGAACAATGGAGATTTGTGGGCCACAGGATAATGATATCAAAGACTAACAATAGAGAGTGTGCTGCAGCACGAACCCTCAGACACCCTGCCAGCCCTTTGTTCTGTCAAATGGTCTATTCCAGTCGTCCATATGCTCACCTCTCCACATGCTTAATGATCAGAGCTTAGCAGCCCGCAGCCATTACACACACATGCGCACCCCAAGGCAAGCTCCACCCCTTCATGGTAGGATAATCTGCCCCTGTAAATGACATTTAATGCATCAGCCACGTGAATAAAAGGGGGGCACCCACCCCTAATTCTGCCAGCTGCCCACATGCACACACACAAACAGATTTGCACAGCTATGCTTATAAGGACTTTCCATTGACTTCCATTCACTATGGCAGTCTTACCAAAACCTTAGCTATCACCAATTCATGCCTGACCTTAACCCCTTAACCTAACCACAACTCAGCAGGAGCTCAGAAATTATGTTTGGCCTCATAGGACTGAGTGTTGGTCCCCACGAGGTATACTGGTTCTGACAAGATCAGAGTTTATGCTGGAAAAGGAAGAGGTACAGTAACACACACACATGCACACACACTGGGGACACAACATATGTCCAATCTCTATGTACAAATGATATTTCAGGTCAAAACTGAAAACAACAGCTGTGGTCTGAATGACATTGATTCTATAATAGAAAACCCTTTCCGTTTATTTTATGATATTCAAACTATTCATAAAAGTAAAGGTTTTTTGTCATTAGAAGAATAATTCTCCTTTGTAATATCATAACCATATATCATATGGCTCACATAACTCTTTGGCAGGGCAGTTTTGTTTAGTGGAAAATAGGAGAGTGGAAATTGTAGATGTTTGTAGAAGTAGACGTCTCCAGTAGTTAGACTGATGAACGTGGAGGAAATGGGCAGCGTGCCCATGAGTAACCAAAAACTCCATAATCACACAAATCACAGTGTATTCACAGATACATTCACTCACAGGTGCACACACACTTACCAACAGGTAGACAGAAAAACATATGTAAGGCGTTTTATAGTAGGGAGAGTATTTGTCTGCCGGCAGTCTAATCGGTCTGACCCCACCAGACTGATATAAGCCTAACTAATCCCCCCCAACCCATCTATGTAAAGACTACACTGTAAAGGTTACAGTGACTTTTCTTCCCGGAGGAATTCAAACTTGTGAGATAAAAAGTAGCTTCACAAACCAGGTGATCTATCCATTAAGTTGAAATTAATGTTTAATGGTTAAACAGAAAAATGCAACAAACAATACAAGTAACACCCATGTAGCTTCAGGCAAAGATTAGCTTTTGGCAGCCTTCTCTGTAAAATCGAGTTTGTATAAAATGTGCGTTTGGCCAGATTTGAAGCATGAAAGATGTAACGCTGAGCTTATTATCAGAAGCCTGTATCTGCCGCCTGAGCTCAGACAGTGTTTATAACAGCTCGGCTTCACAGTGGAAAATATTCCTTCCTGTGTACCAGCCAAGCACACTGACACACACACACACACACTGGGAGATGGATCGCTCAGCCAAAACGACTGTCCATCCTCAGAAAGATAAAGTGAGAAAAATCAGTCTGGAGACATGAACACACAGGTGCACACACACACACACACACACACACACACACACATACATACATACATACACACACACTGCCTCTCTCTTTCTCTCTTACACCACTAAGATACACACATTTGCTTAATGCTTGGGTCAAGTCCGGGTCAGTCAGAGAGAAGCATTTTAAAAGCCAAGTGTAATGTGGCCTCAGGGACGAAACAGAGCACACGTTTCAAATAGACCATTCAACCCTTAAGACCATGAGCTCTACATCGCTTCTCCCAACGCCTCTTTAGTAGCAGAGTGATGAACAAATCACTGGTCTCTTGGTTTCAGTAACACTGCTCTGAATAGGGGGGAATTCACCTAAAATAAATCAAATTCTGTTGAGCAGGTTATGATGAACTGAGCTTTCCTTCAGCATCAGACTGAGCACAAACTTTACAACTGTCATCAGTGTGTTTTTATTCTAGTTCCGTACCTTGTCAATCCATGTGTGTCCATGTCTGGGTAGTGGCAACCTTGTAATAAAGCTTAGATGTAAATCCTGTATTTTCTGTAAGTCTGTAAAAGTCTCTTTGTCCAATGAGTTCTCAGTTTGGGATCAATGAAGTCTGTCTATCCATCCATCAATCATCAGGGATTTCTATTAGGATCTATCTTTCTATCTATATTTGAAATCTTTAGTATTATGCAGTGCAGCACACTGTTTATCTGTGAGGTTGTCCTGTTCCGACACTGACAAATAAAAAATCGTAATTTAAGATAGTAGTACTTACCTCCTGCGATGTGATGAATAATAGAAATGGAGGATTGACTCGCAGCTGGAAAATATAAAATACATTGCAGGAAGTGGTGAGACAGCTCCAAGAACATCCTGGGAAACAAAGAAAAATAATCATGAGGCATTTGGGAAAATAATTAGCTTTTTGTTTTTTCGTTTCCGAGGTAACTACATTGTGATGTGACTGACATTCGCTGATGTGTTATTTTTTGTATACTATTCTAGAAAAAGCTCTCATGCCCTGTAACGTCTTCTGTAACATGTGCTGATTATATCACACTTGCGCGTGTTGTGGCCATATCGACAGTTTGTCAGAACGTTTCATGATAGATGGGCCTCGTTCAGACTGCGTTCATTACATCAGCCTCAATGTCATGACACAGGCTTTGGTGGATACTGAATTATGTGTGGATGGTGTGCTTCCTACTGGTTTCAGGCGCAGAAGCACAGAGGAAACACACACACACACACACACGTATTTGGTGCACTGAGACGACGTTTCCAGTGCTTTACTTCCTCACTCTCTAGTAGACAGCAGCTGTTCTGCATTGACTGAAGAAAAAGAGCGAGGATTTAAACTCATGATTCAAAGAAGAAGGTGCAGATAAGATCACAGGATGATGGAGGCAAAACATAAAATGATGGTGAAGAAGAAATACAAATTCAATTCAATTAAACAGAACCTGTGTCTGTGTCCCAGCCCATATATCTGTGACCAGATACTATCAGCAGGGTCTCAGGGGAATTTTAAAGCATCTGCCTCATCCAGCTCAGTCTAAAGCAGGACCAAACATCAATAATACCCCACCCCCCACACACTCTTCCTCCACCCCCTTCCCTCTGTCATATGTGGTTGTATACATACATGCATGTGTGCGTGTGTTACATCACCACAAAACAAGTCTGCGTAGCAGCAGTTTCAACAAATACATGGAGACAATTAACACCATCTGCAGGGACATACTGCAGAATAGAGCCTCAGAGCTTTCTGTTGAAATGATAATAACTGGTTTTGTTGTTTTGTTAGTTTGTTTTTCACATGTGGAAAGTAAGTACTGCACATTTATGATACTTTGCAGCAGCAATATTCACCAGCAAAACATGGGGCCTCTGTGACGGAGCCACGCCATTACGCACCGTGCCAGAAAGGAGTCTTCACGCTGTGTAAAATTAATTCCTCCTCTCCAAAGATCAATATGTGTAAACTCACCTGCGGGGGAACGACCCTAGAAGCAACACAATGGAAGAAAAGTTGTGGCTCCCCCTATAGGTTGGAGGTGAAACTCGCAGTAATTAACACAAGTACTGGAGTCATCCTTTGTTACAGTCACGTTACAGGATTTTGCTCAAAAACTGAGTTTCATACTTTTTACTACATGACAAATAAATCTTTAATGTAGTGTTTTGTGCCATTGCTTCTGTGAACAATCCAGAGCAATGCCATTACTTGCTCTCTCTCTCTCTCTCTCTCTCTCTCTCTCTGTCTGTCTCTTTCACACACACACAGACACAAGCATATGACACTGGCTCATTAAAACACCCATAAAAGTATTTTACAGTCCTCTGCAGACCAGTAGGGATTCTAGATGTGTCTCCCGTCTCACCCAATCCACTCTAAAAGTTGTCCTTCAGATGATTAACCAAGTCGGCGTCCATCCCACCTCTTCTCTACTTCTTTTAGCTCTCAAATAAAAACGTGTCCAATATTACTCATTTCATTTCTCTCTTTTCTTTTCTTTTCTTCATTTTTCGACAATGTCCTCTTTGGTTTCTTTGCCGGCTCTGCCACGATGAACATATCGAGAGAACTAACTTTTTCTTACAGCTAGCTGCTGACTGCGCCTCCTATAGCTGCTGACTGTATTTGTTGTTGTGTGACTTTTACTGCATGGCAAATGTTCCTGCATGGTACACCTGAGACCCATAATGCAATGCCATGTGTTCCAGGAGTCGTAATTTTAATGTAGAATAAAAAAGTTGTTTTGAATATTTATGTAACTGATGTGAATGAGTCAAGGTGGGGTATTGACAAAACTTGACCTTTGCTTATCTTTACACATGCAGTGGCAGAAACCTCAGACCAGTGCGAGTGCATGCGTGGGTGGGGTCTCGTCAAACACCAGAAGTGTCCACATCCGTCCAAATGAAGACAGCAGAGGCTCCTCACAGGTGAGACTTACATCAGACGACAGTTATGCTTGTGAACTGGTTATTGTTTATCTCCAGTTTCAGTTGGGAGCAGCCTTGGTTTCAGTGCATGGTGATGTAATCTCTCTCTCACACAGTCACACACTCTTGCACATCTGTCACATTATCATAGTTGTTGGATGCATGCACGGAGAAGCATGGATAGGAAGGACCATGTTGTTTGACTGGACGAGTCTTGTTACTCGTCTAACAGACAGTTTTTCATGACACATAGGGTGTTATGTAAATTTTTTTTAAAAAGTTAAACTCTGTCCTTTAGTCAAAGTTCTTACAAAAACACGATCTGTCTGATGACGTATTTAATAACTTATGTTAAATCTAATAGTCTCGATTTGTTTGGGACCACAGGTGCATGTTAAATGAGGAATATGTATCTTCTTCCAACAGTGTGAGCTGGTGGGACATTTGATTTATATCATATTCATAAAGAAATTAAAAAACCAAAGAAAGAAAGAAAGAGTGCACCTTCTTTGGGTAAACCACCTTTGGAAATATAAATCCCTTCTTCCATCTAGTGGCTATCAACTGTCATTACATATTAAACAACTACAATTCCTGCTGCTCCATTTTAAGTAAATACAGTTTGTTAATGTATGTTTTATCAGGAAGCATGTTGTTATATGTGTCCTTTAAACAATTGAGCAACAGACATGGTATGTCCCAGACAGGTCTATCTGTCCACTGGACCACCATGCCACACAAAATGTCAGAGTGTGCTGTGAAAAAGTGGGTTTCCAACACATTGGTCTATTTATCTCTTCATCCAGAAATATATGAATGTTTGTAGAGATCAATTCAAACCTCTGCTGAAACAAGCACCATGCTTTCTCACTGTACAGTAGCTCTCCTAGGTTTCGCCCACAATAGTTCAACGCCAAAAATAAACCCAAAATATTTATTGTGCCAGCAGGATCTGTGGCATGATTGCGGCAGGTACACAGGAAATGAAAGCAGTACATGAAACGACAACGGCAAACAGCATCCAGGGATAAAAAATGCAGTGTATTGAATAAACCTTGGTGTGGCATGAAAAAACATATGACACAAAGCACAATTAATTTAAGAAACATTTGTGTGGATTAATAAAAATCATATGATCAGGTCCATGAGGAGAGTGTGGTCTGTGGAGGACGTGCAGAGGACTCAACCCACATTGTGCAGTCAGCTGTGATTTTCAACACTGTCTGCTGGAACTGTGTTCTTATACTATAAAGGAGATAGGCCTCAGTGAGGGCTGTAATCATTTCTACAAAGACAGTATGGAGATCATGCTGAATTATTAATTTTTTCGAATCATTTATTTATACTACAAGGAAACATGTTTCTCCATAGAGGGCTCTGAAGAAGATAATTACTTTGATTGGTTAAGGTGTCAATAATCTGCTATATTTTGATGAACTCTGCAGATTATTGATGATGTCACTCGCTGGGACGTTGATCAGAATAATCAGGCTCAGTCTTAACCATTAAATATGATTTCTTTTAAATCCATCCAGCACCATTGAAATAGAGTGAGGAAGATGTGTGTTTCATTATTTCACAGGTTCACTGCAATACTTCCCCATCTGTTTAAATAAAACACAAATGTAATGATAATACATGTTAATATATTCACTAATGACATTCATTGTACATTCATCTTCAGCCTTGGATATTTGTACAAATAATGGAATCAGCAACAGAACAAAGATATAAAACAGGGACACATCAAAATCAAATTTTCAGTTTCATCATTTTTTTCCTCTGATGACTCACCTGCTGAAGAATGAAAACTATAGATGTACATTAAGTACACTGCAGGCTATGCATGGATCATTTATTCTAATTCTCAGGTTTTTGCCACCTTTAGTCACCTTGTTTGACTGAAACCATATGTCACCTTAACCCTTGTTTATTTGCCATAGCCACAGTCTTTCTTTCCCTTTAACTATAATGTAGTTCATGTTTGGTTGAGTCATTGTCATTGAACATAATCCTGTAAAATTGTCCAATAGGGGTCAGTCAAGTGCAGAGTATGGACCAGGGGGTTAATGGTAGCATGTCCCTGCTTTTTGGATTAATTACAGCACTTCAGGATAATCATATGTGATGAAAGAAACTGTGCCAAGAGTTGGATCCAGATGAAATTCTGATGACCTTCTCCTCAATTTTTGTTATTGCATGATGTTTGTAGTTATAAAACCAACATGTGCATGAGTATCAAATGTTAAAACGCAGATGATACAGCCTTCACATCTGACTTGATTCACATTTGTTCACATTCACCTTTGTGAATAAAGACATGATGCGACATTGCTCCTTTAATATTTGCAGTAAATGTGAATGGATGCTGCAAAAAAGCCTGACTAGAATGATTGCAATAATTATACAAAGGAAATGTAGCCAATTAGAAACAAAATCTGCTGTTGTTCACTGGCTGGACTGATTATGTTCTGTCTAAAAATAATAATCCAATAAGACAAACTAAATGAACTCCAATTTCATCTTTGGTTGTATAAATCTACTTTACTGGTGCTGCCTTCAGTAACTGTACAGTACAATTATCATTTGACTTGATAAATAGGAAAAGTTCAAGGGAGCAGTATTTATTATGAAGCACAGACATATTAAAAGTCACTATGAAGAAAAAGTAAAAAGTTCCTATTTTTATGAGTCACATTTGACCCCACGTCAGAATTTTGATCAGTATCAACAGTCTCCGTTTTTCATTATGCTCCTGTCTCGCTGCCAATGGAAAGTTGGAGGGGTCCAGACAGACTGAGGGAACCACAACCGGGAGACAAGACCTGAATATAAATACTTCAAGTACATCCTCACAACCCAAAGGCATTGCTATGCTTTCCTTAATCAGAGTCACTGTATCATTTTCTTTTTTTTCAAAAGGAACAAGAAACATCTATTGGTTGGTTGTTGATGCTCCTTTACTTGAAGCCTTTACCTGAAAACACACACACACACGCACGCACATATACATACACAGACACACACACACGGTCTCTCTTTAGCTGCTTTCAGACATGAACTCTGGATAATCTGCTGACATTCTCCAGAGGGGCTGAGTGTGAGAACACAAATGACAGAGAGGCTGCGGAAATTCTGCGTAGTTTCTCCTGCCAGCCCTCTACCAAAGGGTCCAGATAATAGCCGAAGGAGCACATGTGAGAACGTAGCAGGATATTGTCAGGAGAATTCAAGTGAGTGGGCACCTTGATCATGTTTCTAACATGCAAAACTTCCCCCCCAAAATAGGAAACAATTATCTCAGGATGGAGACGCGGTGCCGTGCACTTAGAAGATGCAGATGAAGAGAGGTTTTGCTGATAAGAGCCACCTGAATCCTCCAGAGATGTCTTTGTTGCTGACTGGAGAATCTCCTGCAGTGTTTTCATACATCCCATCATCACATTAATGATGATGTGGTCCTAGTTAGTCTAGTAAACCAATTTCATGAAGTGTTTTTATTCATTACCCTGAACTGGAGTCTAGAGATCACATTATGTGGACCTAAATAAATGACATCATAAACATTTCAGCTCAAAGCTTTATATCACAATTCCACCTCGGTGTGAACAGACAAACTAAAACCCCATCCCGTCAAGCTTACGCCCCAGGCTCATGAAAACATGTTGCACTTGTCATATTTGTGGGATCTAAGAAAACTATGCTGTAACCCGTGCTGCCCCCTCAGGGTGCCCGTGTCCCTGCCAAGTCTGACAGACAGTGCACTCTGCATACCAGCAACCAGGTCATTTTGTTTCACCAGCTTTTCCTCTGCGCTCCGGCTATCGAAGGAACAGGGTAGCATAGCTTTGATTTACAAAGGAGTCAAAAACTGTTGAAAGATTAATTTCAGTGGATGAAGAAGTGTGAGTTTGTAGAGAGGAGTATGTGTGTGTGTGAGATCTGTGGTCAAAAGTTTACTAGCTTTAATGGAAAAAAAAAAAGGGTAAGTATTGAAGTCCAGCTCATCACGAGAGCAGCTCCACTGCCTCGAACACTTCTGACGAGAAGTTCAGACTGACAAAGGTATTGTTCTCCATTGCCTCAATGCTCTCCTCCATGCACACACTGTCCTGGTTGATGAGGCTGCTCTCAGAAGTGGGACTGATGACGATTATGCGGGGGATGCCCTGAGGCAACTTGGGATTGGTGAATGGGATTGTTCTGAAATTGAGGGAGTCGAAAGAGTCGCTCTTGAGGCTGTTGAGCTGACCACTGATGCTGCGTTTCTCCTCCCCAGGGTCTGAAATATCATTGGTCAGACTCTGGCTGCGCCTCCTGGTAAGAACTAGCAGGGGGACAGTGGCGATGGTAAGAGAGCTGGAAACCAATTCATGCTCACAAGTGCTCGATGGTTCATTCATGGTGGACGGACACTAGCGATGTTACAGCAAGCAAACAAAAAAAACACATACAAACACAAAACAAGAACAAAATCAGTTGCAAAACATGATGCATAAGCATGAGAGCATGAAGGCAAATCAAATGAACGTGATACAAATAACAAAAACAATTAAGCTGGAGTTAAACATGTTGCTGTTGTTGAGTTTTCTCACCTTCTCTGGTGCATGGGTCTTTGTTGCTTTCCGCTCCAATTGTTTCTTATAGGACCTCCCTCTGCAAGACTGACCGTGAGAAGACATGCTTCTGAAGGAATCACCTGACCTTCTGCCCAAAGGCTCCATCTCTACATCCCTCAACACCTGGAGGAATAAAACAGAAGATGAGCTAATGAGATAAACTGAAATAATCTGAGATTGGCCTCAGATCATCATGTCTTCTAGAACTTTCCAACAACAGGTCACTGTGAGAGTAAAAGTCTAGTCTAGTTAGCGGTGCTGGTTTGCATGGGATGATTATAAAATGTTGTTAAATGTAGCTCAAAGAAGAAATTAAAAATTTCTCCCCAAAGAGTCAAAAAAGAACTATGAGAACCCAATAAATATCTGCAATAACTTGAACAGTATTAATCATCATCAGATTCACTCTCATACTGTCATAAAATGATTACTTTTCTTCACTTCTTTGACACATATTTTCATTTATAAACTTTTTGTTCAACTGCTCACATGCACTTTGCTGGATGAGCACTGACTTGCACAAATGGACTTCATTGCTTGGTATAGTTATTTTTGCAATTAGTTTAATTTAAAATGAAATGCCGTTGCATTGACTACAGATTATGATTTATAGCACAGTACAAATCTTAATTTGTAATCAGTCCAATGACATTTCATTTCAAATTCAAGTGTCAGAAAAATAATTCTAATCAATAATCAATTTGTGGAAATTAATGTTCCAGCTCCTTCATGGAAAAGATAGCAGACCCATATATTTTGGCTTCAAATAAAATGAAAGCCTCAGAAAACAAACACAAAAGTATTCTTCAGGAGAAGACTTTATCTGATATACAATGACCATGTCTGTGGAGTTGGAGGCTGCTGTAATGAAGTGTGTCCTTGATGCTGTGGATTGTCTGCTGATGATGGAGTCCCTGTAAGACAACTCGCTGATGGAGGAGGAGGCGCAGTCCTTCCGAGGAGTAGGAGAGAGAAACCAGAGGCAGGGAAACTTCTCTGCTAGAGTCATCCTGAAGAGAACAGAACAATACAAGTTATTTAAGATATGTATTATTATATGTATTTGGACAAGATGAGGTTCAATTGACCCGAGTCATCCTTCACCTGTATTTGTTATGTATGATTGCATAGATGAAGGGATTGTAGATGGTGGAGGCTTTTGCTATGATTGCAGGGACGGCCTTGGAGTATGGCGACAAGATGTTGGCGTGCCTGGAAGAGAGAGAGCAGCAGAATTAAAGAAACTTGAATAAATAATTCTTGTTCATTGTGTGCTTCACAGTCTTTTCTTTTGTAGCACGACAATTTAACATGGCCACCGACCATGACTCGAACTTGTCTTTATCTCTGTGTTTTTGCAACATAATGAAAGGGACATTTCGGGTCGGGGGGATTAGCCAAAATGTGCCAGCTGCCACAGAGAGTTGGCTAAATCCATCTGATCGTGTGTGCGTGTATAAGTGTGTTAGTGTGTATGTGTATGTGTGTGTGTGTGTGTGTGTGTGTGTGTGTGTGTGTGCGAGACTACCTTTCCCCCTGTGAATGAACAGTGAGAAGATTTCACAGTTACGTAACTCCATCCCATCCTACTGTATGTCCCAGCAGAGACATGTGGTTTAATGAATGTTATGATAGCTTAGATTAGCAACTTTGCCGTCTGTTGTGTGTCACTCAGCCATGGGCACAAACACAAAAACAACCATTACATAATAATATTTCTGGAGCCTTTTTTTGGGGAGATTTTTATCTAAACTGCCAACACATCATCCATCACATACTCAGAGTCAGTGTGAAGTCACCTGGACGTCTAGTGTTACTGCCTTGCTGCTGCTTATCTTCTGAATGTGTGATTTTCATCCCTATGCACAATGAATGGTTTGACGCATTTTTTTGTAATTCCTTTTCGGACACAATTTTTATCTTAATTTATTTTGTTTTATTATCATTTATTTGTTGTTAAACTGGTTTGCTCTGGCTTTTTTCCATATTTTGATATTTGTATTTGTATTTAGCTTTAAACTCCAAAATCTTAAATCTGAATTAAGTTTCTAAGAGATTGTGACCATGTATAATGAGACAGTGAAGAAGCCTGGATTTGTTTCTCTTCTTTACTTCTGTATGTGCATTGTTTCATGTGTAGCTGGAGCTAAAGAGCAATGATAAGTAGGACTGATGTCCTGGGTTGTTACTATGGCGGCACTAAGCTGCTTGAATGTTTGTTTGAGTGCACGTCTTTGTTCATCTGTGTCTCAGTGGGTTTACGAGTTTGCACAAGTCTTATCAGCTGATCTGAATCTGCATGATGTGATCTATTCTTACCATCTCCAATAGACCATTATAAACTCAAACTGACAGAATAAAAATAACATAAAATACAGGTTATAATTCCAAAACTGCAGATAATGTTAAAAAGCTAAATATAAGTTTTATAGCTGAGGGTATTATGTGCTGTGTAAAGCTTTGACAAAGTCTCTGGCTCAAAGTATGTGGAAATAGTTGAATTTCAAATTGCTGAAGGTCTTAGAAGATTTGAATATTAATGAGCTGAATATTTAACGGCTAACGCTCAATCAGACTTACCCTGCCCAGGAAATCAGTGTGACGCAGGCATACGGTGACCAGGAGAGAACATAGACCACAATGACGACAAAGGCGATCTTCGCCAACTTCCACTCGCTCTTGATGGACTTCTGCTGGATGAGGGTGGATTTCCTCACCTGAGTCCCCAGACGCTCTACCTCCCTGTCGGTGCAGCAGGATGTAAAGGGCAGTTAAAGCTAGATCATTAAAATTCAGATAAAATACTTTACTCATGTACTCTGGTATAAAGCTTATAGTACCTGCCAGTCTTCCGTATGGCCAGAAACATGAGCAGATAGCAATAAAAGATGATTCCCAGAGGAATAAAGAAAACAAAACAGCAAAGCATCATCGTGTAGCTCCTGTTGGCCAATGTGTATGTGACGTAATCCCATGTGCATGACGTCATCAGACCCTCTGGGATATAAGAGCCTAGAAGAGAAGAAGCAAGAAGTGTGATATAACCTAAAACATCAATGTTTCTTCATGTTGGACATGATGTCATGTCTGAGGTGCAGCAGATTAAGATCACAGGTCAATTGGGTTAGCGCAGGTGAATGGATGAAGATTAGTTGTTTTTAATCCCACCATCAATTTGCTCAGTAGGGAACCAAGAACAGGATGTTTGCCTGTTTCTTTCAGACTCTCACAGGGGATTTATGAAAAGAAGACGCCAGTGTAAAGGAAACTCACTCCAGCCAACGAGAGGAGCCAGACTCCAGGCCAGAGAGTACAGCCAGACCATGAGGATTGCCAATGCAGTTCTTCTCTTGGAGCTCCAGTGAATCGCCTGCAGGGGCTTGGTGATAACCATGTAGCGGTCGATGGAGATTGCCAGTAGGTTGATCATGGAGGCAATGCCGAACAGGGCGCCACAGAATGCGTACAACTTACAGCCTAAAGGGGATGGGCACATAAAAACATGTAAACAACACAGCAGCCTAATTCTAATAATTTAATATGAATATGAATTAAAAAGCTGTGTCCCAATTCAGGGGCTGCTTCCTTTAGATGCTGCATTTGAAGAGCGATTATATGAATTGTACAGCAGCGTGACTAGGCTGTCTTATTTCAAAGGCTCCAACAAATACAGCTGACGAATGTGTACTTTCATCTCCGCGCAAAGGAGGCTTCAATCGGTGGATCCTTCTTAGACCAACCTATCCCAGGATCCATTGCACTTTGATGACAAACTGTCTGTGGAAGTGACGAGACCAAAATGTTTTATATTTTAGTTTTTATCAGACTTCAACTCAATCAAACAGCTAACATTACTTTTTCAATTACATTCAATAAAACATTCTCATCTTGTCCAACAGCTGCTCTGTTGCTAAACCGAAGACAGCAGGAAGGGCGGGACAAGCTGGGGACGCAAATCAAAGAAATCCCCCAAAGAGCAGACCATGTCATTTTAGTTCTGCCTTCATATCCGAGGAAGGAGGGGACCCCACACTTGGGACACAGTTATGGACTCTTTCTCTGAGGCTTCTAAGCAGAATTGAACCTTTGAGTGTGTCTATTGAAAAAGAAAATTAAAAGAGAATCACCCATCTCTCCAAACACCCATTCCTTGTAGAGACAGTTGATGAAGAAGATAGGTGACTGTGTGAAGGCCATGAGGAAGTCGCTGACCGCCAAGTTCATGATGAAGTAGTTGGGCAGATTACGAAGCTTCTTGTTACTACACACACACACACACAAACCGGGAAAAGAAGGGTTTTTTTTTGGTTAGTATGAAGCATATACACATTGTTCTCCTCCTGCTGTGATAATTCAGAGTTCAGCTTCGACTTTGGCCACTAGGGGTCTCTCAACCAAAACAATAACAAAATACCTATTTTGATGATGTTGCGAAGCAGCGTGGGATCATGGGAGCAGTTGTCTTCAGCAGTTGTCTTCAGCACCGTTTTTAACATTTTGGATAATTTACATACACAAGTCAACAAGATATGTAACATAGGTCAAGTTGTCTTTAGGTATTTTCATGAAGGGTTGTAGTGTTCCTTCAATGATATGATGATGGACCATTGCACGCCAAAAATGCAAACTGTACTCATACTGCAGGTTGGAATGTAGCATCTGCTTTAATACTTCTAAATTCCACAAATACCCAATGAGATGCTGTTTAGAGAAAAGGAAAATAAAGTATCTTTCAGTTAAAATGTTATTTGAATGCATAACTCATGCAGCACTGTTTCATTGTCAGAATTCATCAGTTAAAAACCTGCTGTTGAAGTGATCAACTCTGTGTGAACCTGCGTTCATACCAGCTTGATTAAGCAACGTATTGACCTGCGGTCTGCCTCCACAGCTCTTTATTGATTAAACTTGGGTTCCCCTGAATTAAAACTAGCTGCTTCCCGACTTCCCCTGAACACAAGAACAATCCACATCTTTACCTGTGAGTCTTTTGTGGATTTGTTGTTATGTCACAGCTGGAGTTCTGTGTTTTTGTGCCACTAAGTGTCCATGCATGTGTGTGCATATCTGAGTAATTCACTTTATTCCTAGAAATTCATCGTATCAGGGCGTCTTGTTAAAATCATTACATTTCTGATTCAGTAAACACAAATTATCATCAAAACACAATGGAGGTGCCATCATATAATCTGTCTACAATGATGGACATGAAAGCTGCCGACAATCCCCAGAACAATCACATGCACGCACACACGCACACACTCACTTTCTCTCTCTGACCCAGTTTCTTTGAAACAGTTAATGTCACTGGCACAATAAGAGACCAACGTCTCCAAATACAGCACATAACAGGAATTGAGTTTACAGATTCTGAGTTACACATCCTGTTTTGTTACGAAATAAATGTAACATTCGATTTCACACTAGCCTGTCTAGCAGTTTTCTGTTTTTGATTGTTTAACTCATGTGCTTTTGGACAATATAGGATGTTGCTGTTCTGGTTTATTTTTCCTGAAGAGCTCATGCATCTGAATAATTATGTTTGGATAAAGGATTTTTTTTGGTAATTCTATGTCACCCATGACTGTGCACCTGTTGTGTGGGGGGAAAAAAAGCTCACCAAATTTCAAATGCAGCGTCCAATTTCTTTACAGCAGTTCACATCATTTCTCAAGGACATCCGACAGATTTGCTCCTGCAAACACCAAGTTTGACTTTGTTGCCACGCAACTAAGATGATCATTCGGCTCGTACACTAAGATGCACAGATTATTTTACTAGTAATCTAGGTGGCTTTTTTGAAACCCCTCTCTGATCCTCTGAAGAGTAGAAGATAAATCATTATCCTCAGACTGCAGTACATCACTTGTGTCCACAAATCATACACAGTGCTGCACATAGAGAACGGTCATTCTTTCTGCCTCTCCATTTCCATCTGTCCAGCTCTCTCTGAGTTCTCTGAGTGATTATAACGTCTCCTCAGGGCTCTGATGGAGACCCATATAAAAATGATAAGAGTTATAATTGTCAGATGAATGTTCAGAGTATATGCACTGTAAAGAACAGATTAAAAAATCAAACCATTCATACGAACCCACCTATAGAAGGCAAACATAACCAGAGCATTGCCGGTGATGCCCAGCGTCCCGATGACGAAGACGAACAAAGCAACGATGTAGTGAGCATGGTCTGGCACGTCCACCTTGGTGAAGAAGCTGCTCTGGGTGTGTGCTTTCTCTGGCTCCATGCTCTCAGCGGACCACATGGCTCAGACACCTCATCAGGACTGCCAATCTGGCAGGATGCAACACGTCTACCAGGTCGCAATCCACGTCTTTTTGCTTGATCCTGGCCTCCATAGTTGTACCATTTGAGAGATGCAGTGGAGATGCACGGTATCTTCTTTAGATAAAGCTTAAGATCAAGGTCAGGTTGCACGGATATTCTGATAGTGAGCAGTTGGTCTCAACTTTGTAAAGGTGTGAAATCCAAATTTCTGGAGAAGAAGCTGGAACAATGAGAAAGTATATATATTTTCTATTGCCAAATCTTATCAAGTTGTCAATGTTACATTATACATTTTCTTTTCCCTTCTTTGTCCAGTAGATGCTAGATGATATCCGCAAGCCATTCCCACATTAGTTTTCTCCAAGTACACTTCCTCACTTCCCACATCCTCTCTATTAATCCGCCTCTGGTCTGATGCACCAAAGCTCCTTTTCTGCACCTGTTTTGTCCAAATGTGTCCCGCTTTGATTCTGGTGTTAGTTACTTGATGATGTTCTCCAGTGCATTAGATCCCACGCTCGCTACACATTGTCACTGTCTGTCCAGTCAGTGTCAGCCTGCAGCCTCCTCACCCGTCGCACCAGCTGTGCACCAAGCTCTGCATCAGTGGCTCGTCTCTGATTATCTAGCATCTCCTAACCTCCCATTTCTCTCTCTCTCTCTCCTTTTCCCCCTCTCTCCATGTGTCTCTCTCTCACTGTCCCATGTTGCTGTGTTCCCTCAAACCTGCTCTGTCATACTCCCTCTCCCTCTCTCTCTCTCTCTCTCTCTCTCTCTCTCTCTCTCTCTCCCTCTCCCTCTCTCCTCAAACTCCTCGCCTGCTCTCGCTCCCTCCCACCCTTCCTATAATATGGTCCGGCCCTGAGCTCTCACCCTTTAACCACCACATTCTTACATAACACACATGATGTTCACTAACATCAGCAGCATTAACAACCATTTCAGCTCAGCACTGCATCAGACTTTGTAAACGAGACAATGATGCATGTGCAGCGCCTTTCATTTCTATCATCAGCTGACAAGCATGTTCTGCAAAACATTTTGCATGCACGCAACCTCTCATACTTGTGTGACAAACAGTACAAGTTCTGCTGTGATGTCATTGTGTCGCTGACAAGCATGGACTCTTGAAGATCACTAATGAAAGCACCCCAACTAATTAGTCTTTCCATAACTTATAAAGCCAATTCAACACGGCCTCAGACTCTTAAGACACACATCACAATCCAGAACGCACACACTCTTATGTTTCATATCATCCCTTCAGACGTAGGTGCAGGTGATAAATTAAAGAAGGCACAGCTTTAAGACTTTAAAAAGACTTTTCACCCTCGGCAGGATGTAAATAAGGCACACGGACAATTCCTGGTTAAATAATGTGTCAGTTGTATCCAAGAATGTGACAATAATAAGATGACTGCATTGATGGTGGAGTTAATCTAATCATAACATTTAAGAGCAAACAGGGACGGGAATGATGTTCTTATGACTGCCTGTAGGACAGTGGACGCTTGCCACATCTGCTGGTCATTGCTTTTTATGGTGCTGGACATGTTGATAAAGAGGATGAAGCGGATGGAGGGAGTTGAAGAATGTCAAGCTTAGACAGAGATGCCAACTAAGCCCCTGGAGCAAGGGATAGCCTTAATCTGCACACTGTGCATGCATGTGATCAGTGTTTGATCTGCCTGGAAACATGTATGTTTGTGTCATATGTGTGCCTTATTTGTGCATGTGCCTGCATGCTTGTCTGTCCACGTCTATGTGCACTTAAAAGTTTATCACTAGATATTGCAAAGGATTACTTGCTGGGTTTTGAAGGCCTTGATAACCTAATCACTGTTGTAGTGTTTGTGTTAACATGTCAGCACAGCATGGAAATATACAACAGAAGATGTAATGCAACATAAAGAGCAAGATTTATTTTCTACATGTATGTAATTCCCCAATTCTCGATCCTCCTAGCAATCTGCAAACAGTTCTGACCAAATATGTTGATTATGTAAACTACTCAAATTGTAATATATAAACTGAAATATCTCACTGGGACTGTGAAGATTATAAAAAGTACAAAGTTTAAGGAAAAGATTTACATTTTAAGAAGAGAAGTAAACTTTTAATCAGTTTGAACTTGATGTTGATTTGCTGATATGATTTGTCCACTTGTCACGTTACAGTAATGCAGGGTGTACAACAAGCTTGAGAGGGATTAGAGAAAGATGAGCGATGGGAGTCATCTTCACCCAACTCTTCTGTATGTTAGAGGGTGACATGTCAATCAGATGTAAGCAGCTCGTAGTAGAAAACGCTTAAAATTTAAATTTAAGGTGAAAATAACATAAAGATCTAAATTTTCATCATAACATTGTAGCACAAAAAAGAAAAGGATCAACATGTAAATTTGCAAATTGCTGTCTGTTTGTTTTTTTCTCGATGGAGACACTAAGAAGCCAATTTCAGAAGACTTATTATTCATGATGGTTGCAAACATGTAGGCATTGCTGAAATATTTTTCAGTGTAAACTTTATTACCCCTCACTGCTCTGCTGTTTGATCTTCTTGTTATGCTTGTTAACTAAACTGTCATGGATTATGGAGTAAAAGAAATGCAAAGTGTACAAAGTGGTTAGTATTCATTGATGAGTCGTAAGCCTCTGATCAGGTCGTAAGCCTCTGATCAGGACGTAAGCCTCTGATCCAACTCTCTTGTTTCCCTTCTGTTTCGCTCCATGCATCTGTATAAATGACCTTGTCTTGATGGAAAAATACATCAATGATGTGGCGTTCAGAGAGTATGACCTGGACCGTGGAGTTCAGCATCACACATGTCAATGAGTCAATTACTATTGAACCGGCTGGTAGTGCTGGTGCTTAAATCCTGGACATGAATCCCCTGGTTAAAGAGAGTTCTGGGCTTTTGGCTCTCAGTGGAAAGAGAATAATTATTATTGAGCGGTGCTGACCCTGTGACCAGGCCATCCTCCTCTGACACATGAGTCAGTTGGAGATCAATACATCACAACGTCAGAGTTACCAAGTTGAGCATCATTGGCATAAAAAATATTTGATTGTGAGGTGCGTGTCACTGTGAAGTGTCGTCTTCAGCAATGACTCACTTTTTGATTTGGACCTGAGAGTTTTTTACACTGTTTGTGTGAAGTTAGAAAACTTTCTGTTCATCCTACCTGGTTTATCTACAGTAAAGATTTTCATAAAATTTAACAGAATTTGCTCTATAACTGTTCACATGTTTAAGTGATTGACTCAACTGCTGTTATTTTCGCTTATGTTGCATGTTAGCTATTTCAGGTTTCTGTTGACAATCGACAGAACCAAGTTCACACCCTTTCAAAATAAAAGCTCTGCAATTCATCTTGATTTGAGGCATTACAACAACAACTGTAAAAAAAAACAGGAAGTGATTCTATGAATGTTGCTATGACGGAGACCAGCACTGGGGCTGTGTGTGTCTGTGTCTCACTCCGATAAAGTGAAATAAAAAGAATCAAATTATCAAAATGATCCGGCGGTGAGTTTGACCCCTGGTTTGACCCAGTTGCCAGCTGCTGCTGTTTATCCGAGGACATTATAGTTTGCAGAGTGCTGGTCACCCGTTTATTCACATTTTATCAATATTGAACCTATATCCAAATTGCACCACTGCACTTCCCTGCCACTGACAAAACACAGGCCAAGTGCGAAGCCGATGGTGAATGAATGGTTGATGGGATACAGGTTCCACATACAGACACACGTTTATGGAAATATTAGGTAGATAATAAGGATATCACGGCATAATGTAACTGTATTTACCATGTACCATAAATACTTTTGATGTATTGTGTGTGTTGTAATCATGTGCAGTTTGTCAGTAAATAAAATCACAGCTACGTCTGCTGTAATGAAAGAAAGTCAGACGTCCACTTGCTCCTCTGGTTCCAGGCGCAGATGTTTCGTGGAGCAGCAGCAGCATGTGTGTCGAACAGGAAATGATGGATATGGCATAGAGCTTTAAATCATGTAATGCATGTCTTAAGCCTCTTTAGGGTCGGCCTGGGTTTTGTTAACCGCCACACTGGGAATCTGGGTTATACATTAAACGATGTGGAAAAAGCAGGTCATAACAGGCTCTTCGATAAGCGGAATGAATTTCAGTAGATAAACAAAACCTCCACAGCCGGACTGGATTTCTCGTCCATCTCTCTCTTATCAGTCGCCCTCTTTCTCTCACCTTCTCTTTTCCTCTCTCTCTAAAAGTACAATTAGTTTAATTTGTTTAATTTATTTATCATAAGTGACTGTTCCGAACAAACAACATAGAGAACAAATGTGGTCACATCAACACACTTTTCCATTTCGACTGCAGGGATTCAGTGGGTTTTATTTTTTAGAATATAATAGAAGATGTTGAATATCCCCCACGTTTGAAAGTCTTCTGCAACATCATCAAGTTTTTAGGCCTTGTAATCAATGATAAATGCCAAACTTGAAAATACACTGACATACAATGAGGGAATGTGAATGCTTCTTCTTGTTATTCGACATCTTTATGCTGACCTAAATGGTTAAATATAGAGGTGGACGTTATTCACCACTTTTCTATCTGTACCTGACACTTAGAAACATTTCATGTATTCCACTGAAAGGACCAAAATTACTTAAATGGCAGTTCAGGTCTGTAAAAGTGTGCCAGCCCCTCTCTTAGCAGACGTCCACGTATTTTGTTACGTATGAAAAATGACAGAACACGCACCATAAAAGCTACGGACGAGACTATGATGCATTTTCTAACTCGGGTACATTTAAAATTTACAGGGACGTGACGTGAGGCCATGAGACTTCAAATTAATCATTTTATTATAAGAGATTCTTGGATTTGTAAAACACTGTAACAGTCATCGATTGCCTTTGTTTTATTTATCACATTCTGTTCACACTAGCATTTGGAACATTAGAAAACCCAACACGAGGAGGAGCAGAGGTTTTTCGTCAGCCCGTCCAGCACTTGCCCCCGTAGCAAAACTGAGACCTCCTGGTTTCCCTGCAGCAAACAGAAGATAATGACACCATGAATATTTCTCTTTTTAAATTCATCCTTGATTACTTTTGCCAAGGAGGTGATGTTTTCACCCCTTTCCGTTTGTTTGTTTGTTTGTGAACAAAATAGCTCAACGGATTTCCACGAAACTTTGTGGAAAGATGCATGAGTCAGGGAAGAATCCATCACATTTTGGTGCAGATCCATTATTCGCTAACGAGATTGTGTTAAGAGTGTTTTTCAAAATTTTGATTACCTAAGGAAAAATGTATGTATCTTGATAATAGAATCAGCCACATCTAGAGATTTGACACCCATGAGTGTGTGCAATTTGGTGCGGCTTGATTGAATCTAAGGAGACTGTTGGGCCTTGGCAGAGGTAACTGAGTGCTATCCTAGTTTGTCACCTTGCCGTACTTACCGCTGGTCAGAGTGCTGGACTTCACATTAATCCAGAAGACTGTGCGCTGCTGAGCTATGGTGGCCCTGGAAAACAACAAGTGTTAAAAATGTTTGCAAGTTTAAAAATTAAAAAAGCTCAATTTGGACCGATTTTGAAATATATTGTTGGAAAATTGGAAACAGTTCATAAAATCTTGTTATTACAGTGATGGAATTGTAAATGTTTGTTTTAGTATTGTAGTAGTAAGTATTTTTCTTTACATGAAGTAGACAGGGCTTGTTAACTTGGGTGGGATCCATCTGTATACGGTGGTGTTGCCCTTCAGGTTGGTGTTGGAATGAGTAACAGCACCTTGTGGTTCTCCGTTGCACTGGGAACATAAAACATTTACACTTGTCAGCCTATCTTATTATTTCCACTTGTATTGTTTTAGCTCACTCACGCATCCTTATGAAAGTTTAATGCTGGTGAGGAAGTTGAGTTTTCTGAGACAAGGCCATGGATTAACAACACACTGGATTCTTCTTTTTTTTTCCCCAGTTGGATTTTTTTCTCATATCATATTTTATAGTTGCAGCTGTTTAAATCCTTAACATACACATTGTATAATTTCATTGCATGTGGTGGTCGCTCAAGTGAAAATTGTCGGCGAGTCACCTCAAGAAACTTGGTGTCTGGAGGAGGAAGTTTCCAGGTCCCCAGAGCGTTGGTGCTGCCGCTTATTCGAGCCTCCAGAAGCACACCTCTGTATTCTGGTCCAGTGATCGTCACTGCAGACAAACACAAGCACACAGTTGTTGTTGTGCACTGATTCCATGATCTCATAATACACAACAGACTTTCTTTATGAATAAGATAATGAGAATATACAGCAAATCAAGATCATTCAAAGAGCAGTCATGGTGTGAATTGATACAGAACTGATAACGTTTGATTGATTTGATGGGTTTTAATGATAAATGATATAATGTATACATTTTCAGACATGAAAACCAGATTGAACAGAGGTGAGTAAAAGTAGTTTGAAAGATTCAGTGACTCTTGTGTTCATCAAAGCATCAATAAGATAAACATAACAATAAAAAAGATGAACATACTAAAGATGACTGTTAATAGAATAACTACTGCAAATTTAAATTACTTTATATGACCAAAGTAAAAAACAAAAGCATATTTTTACTAAATATCCTTACGTTGGAATGAATCCCTTAAAACCACACATGTATATAGTGATACATTTTTGCTGTTATAAAAATAATCATATCTCTGTATTGTCTCCAGGACTTCTTACCGGTGATGGGCATCCCCGGCTGGTAATTCTTGGCGTTGGTGAGGACAGAGTAGGGTGCAGGTGAAGGCTGCGGCAGCACCCCGGAGTGTCGAGGTATCATGTCCTCGCAGGCACCCGTAGGCGCACCGCTGGGATAGCCATCGATAAAACACACCACTTGAAGTGCCAAGAAAGCATACAACATGCACAGCTCCATCTGCCTGAGTGAAAATCTGTCAAATGAAAGCAGTGCTAAATGATGATACACAAAACCAATCAAGTGATGGATATTCTGCTGAGTCACACAACCCAAAAATGTGATTTTCTCTATTTATTACTGCCTCCACCATGAAATGTGCTTTCACATGCTCTCACATGCTCTCTCTCTCTTGCTCAATGATAATTAAGTGTCGATTTTCCAAAATCTTTCAATTTGTCGAGCCTGTGCTCACAAGTGTTTTATGGTTATTAGTATTTAGGAGTTAGTAAACAGTAGTGATCATCATGTGTTTGTCAACACATGATGATCACCACTTCTCTTTAAGAGGCATGAACTTCCAAATAACTAAGGAAACCATAGAAAAAAGCTTGAACAGTACAGAAGCTGATTTCATGTACAAGTATACAGTACATACACTGCTTATAAAAAGAAATACATAAAAAGCCAACATCTACCAAAGCTGAGTCATGATTAAACCACACTCAGGTTTTAAAGTGATTGTGATATAGAGCATCAAGGCCTTTAGGCTCCAGCTCAGTTCAGAAACAAATGAATGATGCTTCATGCTTTTATATTTACTCGGTTATGTTTTCACCCCGTCTGATCATGTGTTGTTTGTTGTTTCCAGCAGGTTATACTCATTAACTACTAAACAGATTTACAGGAAACTTTGTGGAAGAATGGAAAATGGACCAGAGGAGGAACAAATCACTTTGTCACTGCAAGGCAGCGTGTCTTTGACATTTTCACAGATTTTCCAGGGAATAATGCAAAGATCTCGAGGAAAAAAATGGTCAGTCTTCCACAATGGAGATGATGAAAATCACAATCTATCGTTTTGTTTAACTACCTATTATGCTTGATTGAATTTAAGAGGATTGTGCAGTGAAGTGAAGATTGAAGAATCCTTTCTACTGAATTCTTCTTCTGTTGAGGAAGTTTTTTTTTAATTATCAGGAAACCCAACAAACCAGGAGGAAATAAGAAGTCTTAGTGTTTCGTGTTATGTTCATTTTTCTGATAGCTTATTGATGATGACACGCCATGATTGACAGCTGACACTGACTTTTGATTGAACACATATTTTATATCGGCAGGACCTTGATACTGTGGCACCATTCCCCCGATCGCTTAAACTGCGCATGCAGACTCTGACTCTATGATGTCATCGTGGCAAGAGGGTATCATTCATATAAATATTTTGGTATCCTTTCTGTACAGTGTGAGGAAGTGGAGGCGTATCATCAATTATATAATCAATGCATTAAAGGCACAGCCTCCATTTAACATAGACATATACATTAAATCACACGGTGACAGTGTCAGAGAACGACATGGTCTGAGTCTGTCCCCTGCTAAATCTCACTGTACAGAGGTTAAATAATGCCACTCAAAAATCTGACTTCATTTGGTGTTAAACATGTCCAGAGTCTCCGATGCAGCATTTATCAGAAAAAAGGTTTTCAGAGAGAAAATCCCCTTCTCTTGGTTTTGTGCCATGTGTCATCTTTGTACTTAAAGGATTAGTCTCTCATTTGTAGTATTTTACTTTGTCTGAGTGGGGCCGCAGCAGCAGTGGATTGTGTCTTTGTGTCCTTGAAACTTGTTTAATCTTCTGTTTCTGGAAAAGAAGGATTTGTCTTTGACAAAAACCGAAATGAAGACATGATAAAAAAAAAGAAAGAATGGGAAAAATGAGTTATGATTAAAATAACAGAAGAGAGATGAAAGGTCTGGCTCTCAGTTTAGCATTTCACCCTTACTATGTGATGTCAGGGGAATATATTTATAATTTACTTTACATAAAAAAGAACAGCTGGTGTGACCTTGCCACTAAGAGGAAGAATGAGCAGGCTGTTGTCTGAGAAACCCTTCCTCTATGTCTTGTTCTCTGTGGCTCTCCTCTGTTTAAATTTACATTTCTGCAGAAGATGGATTGTGCTCTTTTATCATTTATTTAGGGAAAGGTGTATGTTTTTAAAAAAGGAGCCTAGTGACTCATCAGGCTGTTGTAGACTTTTTAAATTTTTCAGACAGATTTCTGGTCATAGGAGATCATGTTTGGTTCCAGCTTATTACTGAGGATCACTATGAGTAATTCATTCCCCATTTATTGTCTCACTCCACACCCTGTTAACTTTTCTTAACAGGAAAGGTGAAGATGGTTTTACAGAAACATTTTTTGAGAAGTGTCTTCTTGGGTTTTTCTTCCTCAGTTAGGTTAGTTAGAGACTGACTGTAGGGGAGAATGTGAATTGTTGTTTGTCTCTGTGTATTGGCCTTGTGATGTGTGGGCAGATGAAGTGTTCAGGTTGTACCCTGCCCTTGCCAAATGTCAGCTGGGATTCATCCTCAAAGTGATGGATGGATGGATGGATGGTTTTTGGATGCTGCCTATTTTTGTTCATACAATTTGGGGAAGTTCCTTAAAGGATGAATCATCGAGAAACAAATGTGACTTATTGAGATTGAGGAAACTCAATGCTCTCTGCTTATCAGCACATTCTTGGCCTCTTACATTAAATTATCTCATGTTCAACGATGTAAAGAAGGCCAAATCTGTGGAGGAAATTAAACACCAATCCTATTTTTGGATCCCCTCCCCTCCTCCCTTTAAACACAGTTTGTTGTGCAAGGCGTGTGAACACGAGGAATACAAATCCAACAGAACATTTCCATGTTTGGTAACAACAGTTTTGTGCACAAAGACAAAGGTCAAGTCCAGTTATTTTTCCATCTGCCCCCTCAATTTAAAGCTCAAGGCTCTGAGAGTCAGCCAAGCAGACACAAGAACCAGGAGGAGGTGCAAGAGGAATCATTTCAGCTCACGGGTTTTAATTCAGGGTTCCAGTCCATGTCTTTCTGTATCACTTATTTTTGCAACTTCACCAATGAATCAATCTTTTAATCTTATCTCACACAGAAAGTTCATTTTTATTCTGATCAGGATCACAAACTTTCATTTAGGCTGCTTTTTTGATTTATTTCTAGTTTGACTCACTTGAACAAGGCCGTGTGTTTTTTAATAGGGTTGGTATTACAGGGTTGTGTCAGAGCCATCCTCATGGTTCAATGTATGATGTAAGTAAAGATTTGAGTGTGACTGCATTTAAATGGGTTATTAGTCGTAATATGGTTTGTTACATCATTTGATTCAAGGGACCGAGGGGGAGAGATAATGGATCATATTATATTATAGGGTTAGGATACAGGTTAGGTAACTGTTCTCATAAGAACATTAATAAATGAAATTGGGGAACATACATTGTGAGATAAATTATAAGGTATTAGTTATGAAACCGGAGCGCTTGGGTTAAATTTAACTTAACCGTGACAAGACGAGAAGAACCGCAATAAAATACATGGGTTAAAGATGTGACAGTATGAAATGGGTTCTTCAGCCAATCAGGGAGCACCGCTCTCAGCATGTAACTCTGGACTTCGCTGTAACTTAAGTTTCAAGTGTCGAAAAATATAATAAGTGGGCGTGAAATGAGGACTTTCCTCTGTGTGTGTGTGTGTGTGCACATGTTCTTTCGTGCATTTAGGTAATGTGTGACGGGAGAACAAGAGCAGCGGGACAATCGAATGAAATTCAATATAAAATTCCACTGAGCTTCACAGTCGGTGACATACTTAGATTAATATGATGGAGCAGTGTGCTGAATATAAGCGAGACAACGTCCTTTCTGTTCCAAAAATCTACATCAGATGAAGTCCAGTTAGATTTCTAAAATACACAGCAGCTGTTTTATTGAGTAATTAAGAACAAAAGCTGTTATAATTGAAAATGTAAGTGAACAGATTCTCCCCTAAACTCATACACATGTTCTTCTTTTTGCAAATACACCTGCAGCTCACAGTACAACATCAGAGTGCCTTGTGTGTTCAAAGCACAATAGATCAAAAACAAACAATACAGCCACATAGATGTCACAAAACAACTAAATGCTCTGAAATGTTACATCAATTCGCGGCTTTGCTTGGGATTGAAAAGATGTTCAGACTGGGCAGTAGTGCAATGAAGAAATAGGCTGCAGTGAATGTAATAAATATATAAATAAACCAAACTGAGGAATTCAATGCGCCTCTTTTGTGCGTGGGTCAAACAACGACTGAAAATTATGCTCTTAAGGGTTTGTGTAGTGGTTACGTAGTGGTTTGAAAATGTGTCTGTACAATGTAGCACAATAAGAAACTCCTTTCTTCAATTCAGAACTCTGTGTGTCTGTGTGTGTGTGTGTGTGTGTGTGTGTGTGTGTGTGTGTGTGTTGCACAGGTTGCTGTTGATGGCAAAACAGCCTTCGGAATTACCGAGATGACTTTTTCTAAAAAGGACATAGATTTGCCACCATCATGCAGCACAGGCAACTAAAAGTACCAAAGGTTAGAAGAAGACTGTGTCTTTTAAATCACACAAATAATTATTTCCCCCATTTTAATGTTGATTAAATGGTGATCATTGTTCTAATGATGATTGGGATCCAGATCTGTATTCATGTTTTTCTTTTTGTTTAATAAGTCTCAGAGTTTTGAGATCCACATTTTTTGGTTCCCTGTTGCTGAAACAAGAGGATTTGTCATCTGTGTACCAAAACTTTTTTTTAACTCCACTAGATACTCGATATGAAGATTTAATTTTTTAAATAATCATTTTTTGGTTGCAGGAAAATCATTCCCTTGTCGACTTTGAGAATATTGTTGAGTACCTGTCATAAAAAGTTATTTTATTACTCAGTAAAGAAAAATGTCAGTGATAGTGTTATAGGTCAGTGACTAAAACGACCATATGACTGATCTGCATCTTTGTGTATAGCTCATAAACCCTCTCTTAAGAGATGCTTATTTTCTTATGAAGCTTAATTCTCATGACTTCACCTCATCTGTGTCATATATTTTATCATGTATTATAAACTGAGCCATTTGAATTCAGCCCTTTTCCTGAAAATAAAGAGGACGATTAGTCAGGTAAAAAAATGTAATTGTCAGACTGTTTGGTTAATTTGGTTTATATGCAGAGTCTCGATGTTGACAGGTTACTGTAACCGTTTAACCATTAAAAATAGTTTACATTGATTGATTTTTGCAAAACCAGCTTAACATTATTTAACTTGCTTCATCTATTTCATCATCTTGCAATGGTAAGTGGCTGTAAATAACAAATGGTGGCACCTAGATAGCTGATTTCAAATTTTCATGGGATTTTAAGGCTTGATGTATATTTTTGGTGCTCCTGTTCGTTCGTCCTGATTTAGCTGCTCCCAGGTCAGTTCTTTGCACAAATCTGGATCATCTGGCTTCACTAACTACAAAGTTGGCAACAATCATGAACCTAAACTTAAAGCTTTAAATGGAACTTCTGAAAACATGTGCTGACAACACAGATGTAACATCAACATGTTCCTATTCTAGATACTGTCTCATCACATACATACAGTCAAGATGTGATACAGCCAATCACCCTGTGGTGGATCACTCAGTGCATATCATGTTCATTCACACTCCAGTAACATGGTGCTTTTCATTGAATTCACCTCTTTTCAGACTTTACACGTTTGTTTAAAATGATTCAGGCCATAAAAAGTCTTTTGTCTGTCTTCACATAACGTTACGTTGTAAATCAATATAAGAAAGGTTGACTTATAATAGAATTAATGATGAATTCAATCTTTAAACAAGTGAAACTAAATGTGTGATGCTCAATTTTCGACTATAAATACTTCATGTATGGATGGATCATGTGCAGACAGACCCTTCTAAAAGATAAACCTTAGGCATGGGAAAGCAATTAACAGACAATCTTGCACTGAAGGATTGAACTGGTCAAACAAGAGATACAAAGCTCGGAGTCTGGTATCCACAGTGCTGCAGTTTTGCATCAAATACCAGCAGCAGACTTGTGTCACGCACATTTTCTCCAGGATTTTGGCTGCTTCACCGTGTCAACACCAGACTTTCATGTGACTAGCATCTGAGAGTTCCAAAAAAAGAAGCACATAAACTAAAAGAAAGTAAAAAGAAACAACTGTTGTGCAGCTGATACCCCCCCTCCAAAACTAACAACTTTTAAAAACCTGACATCAATCAAGACTTTAGAAAATGGTAGTCTACAGACTGATAATACATCACGAACAAGAACACAAATGCCACAACAAAAACAACAGAAATCCTCTAGGGCCAAAACCAAAATCCTCTACAAAGCAGTTTATCTCTGCTAGCTGCTCTAGGTCAGGTTCATGGAAAACTTGTGATGACTCTTGATCCCTCGGATCTCTTGGTTCTTCCAGCAATCAAATAAGGATTTACAGTGAAAAAAAAAGGTACGTGTTGGAATCATCCCATGAAAAATGTCCTTCAAAAGGTTTTTCAAAGATCCACATTACCCACATCACTAAGAATTTGTTCTCCTTTCACAGAGTACTTGTGCTTTGTAATATCCTCTGGTTGTTTTTTTTGCTGTCATGTGTCGAAACTGGTTTTCAGAGCAATTCATCAAGTTGTTAATGCTAAAGCAAAACTTCAGTTTGGAAACTTTGCACACAGCAGTAGCATCGCTGTTTTTCCACTTTGAGTTTTTTTAGGGAGTTTATCCAAAAAATGATATTGTTTTCACTCGTTTGGTGCTGGCAGTCAGTTTGAAGACGACAAATCAGCTGATCGATGAGGTGATGCTGAAGAGGGACTTTTTGTCTGTCGGAGCTATTTTCTAGTTAGTGCAGGTATTGATGTTCTTGCCGTCGGCAGCATCTTCCACCAGTGCTAAGTGATAATCAGTGGAGAGTGTGAAGTGGGACACGCAGCCCACCAAGCCGCCAATGTACTGTCTGTTTGTGTGCAGAGCTATCTCTTTCATGCCACCTTCAGAAGGAGAACACAGAGAAAACACACATTAGAATGAAGAGAACAGAGAAAAGCAGACGTGAAAACATTGTGCAACATACGTATAATATCTTGAGCTTCACCCACCAATGTATAAGGGTCCGTTGATGTTGAGTTGTCTCATCTTGCCAGGTGACCTCCCTGTCTTTGCTCCATAATCATCGACCGTCAGTTTCCCTGACTGGCCGTCCCTGAGGAGAGAAGTGATGGTGATGATGACACCCATTTGTAAACCTGAGAAACAGTTCATAGTCTTTTTACACCGCTAACCTTTTCTGCTTTCACCAAGTAATTAAAGGTATTAAAATTGTCCTTGGGTTTTTCCAATTTCCACGTGGATAGACTATAAACATGTCTCTGAAGAAGACTACGAAATAATCTTTCCTTCAAAGCCACACAAATCAATACTTTTATGGATTAGTGCAGATCAAATTACTGATCAAATTACTATCTGGAAGGTGCAAGGGGTTCGTCATTGGGACGAAAGCACAAGTAATTATCGCTTAACTCAGTTTCCCTCAGCTCTGCAGAGAATTTTAACATCCTTCAACTCTGTTTCCATTGTAATATTTCTTTTTTTGCTTCTTCTAATTGTTACAAAAATTGCTAATATTGCTCTATGTGTTTGACGTATAAATGTCCATATCAATCTATAACATCATAATATAATAAGTATTGTGGCATCGTCAGACCAGTTTGCTAAAGGGTGCGGTAACCCCCACATTTTTGATTTCCCAGGGGCGCTATCAACAGTCAGAGACCAGAAATGCCTTGAAGCAATTGGATGGACCTACAACCAGAGCAGCAAAACATGTGACATAGCATATCAACACATGGTCTAATCACAGTTTAAATTTACCTTCCAGTTTGTTTAATACTGTTGTGACTGCAAATTCAACAGATGTCTCCACATCAGAATGAGGCATCATACATGTTGCCAGAATTGTTTTATCTGTGTACTCTGTCATTCATCATATCAAACGTGTCCAGTTAGAGATAAATGGTTGCTGCCTCAGGACAGAAATCTGTCTGAATAGCAGAAGGCATTCAGACCTTTATATATCCAGTCTATGATTCAGACCGTTCAGACCCATCTGCAATAATGGATAAATCTGAGCTTGATGTATGGTTTTTTCGAGGCTACTGCCCCCAAGTGGACAAGGAACTCAATTGGTGTAGTTCTAGTGTCTGTGTTGTGATCACAACAACAGAGATACAGTTGATCGGATTTCTTCATACATTTTTTCGAGCTTACCTCACAGCTTTGACTCGGTGCCACTTCCCATCGCTAAAGGTCCCGTTGACAAAGATGTTAGCAGCACCACTGCCCAGGTTATAACTGTAACATCATATACAAAGAGTTTAGCAAGTTACAATGGACTGTATGATGCTTTGTAGATGAGTCCTAGTTCTTCAACAGGTTTTAACGACTCAGACTTCCCCTCTCCACTTTGGTGGGATCAGCGTCGCACTTCATCAACGCTCCTTTTGATTAAACTTTTCTTTTGCTTGATCTGCCCCTTTCGCTCCAGCTTTTTGATTCACTATTCATTTCAAGATTGCAGTTAAAATGTCAAGTGTAACAGAGAAGTAAATCAGGGGACGATTTTTAAGTTTTGCATCTCAAGAAAGAAGTCAAAATGTTAAGAAAAAGGTTGACATACTATTTTGAGACTGAAGCTGAATTATTCAATGATAGCTGTAATACATTAATAATATAAAACGTAGAATAAATTCCTGTATACTTAACCGTGACGTTACCAGACTCACTGAATTAAAATTAAAATGTTTTGCCTTATTGGACTTTATTCTCAAAATGGAAAAAAAAAATATATATATATTATTTTATTTTTCTCTTATGCTCAGCTCAAAAACTCTTCTGTACTACTAATTATGAGTAGTTCTTAAACAAATACCTGAAGATTAGAGCTCCGTCCTGAAGCCCCATAGACAGGAAATCACTGTTGGGTCTCATTGGACTGTCTCCTCGCCACATCAACAGGCCGTCCTGGACTGTGCTCTTAAAACGAATGAAAAGGTTGGTCCTGGATCCTGAGACCCTGAAAGAAGATAAGTTTCATATGTGAACAAATACAAGCGAGTAAGTAAGATTACAGCATGAACACCTATTATGTGGCTATAATAAACATTACTCATCATTAGTGTGTAGTAATAGAAAGTTTATGTTTAAAAAGACACAGGTTTGTCAGTTTTATTCATTAAACTGACCTTTTAACGATATCTCTGTTATCATAAGTCAGGTAACTCCGCCCAATGAACTGTGGGATCTCAATGGCTTCAGTCACAGCTGTACAGAGAAAACACTGCATTAACTTCATACCATCACAAGGTGGCAGCATCATCATGTTATGTTATCATCTACTGGCTACAGCTAAGAAACAACATGAGCCATTGTATCAATGAATACAGAGGGAAATACACATAGTTTCTGTTGTTTACTTATTCTTTTTTTTTATTAATTCAAGAAAACTTACTGTTCAAACAGTAATTCCCACACTCTGCTCAGTGAAAGCATAAAAAACACAGAAGGCATAAATAGGTTTAAGGGATTACGATGTCCAATGCATATATATATACATACACACATATACTGTATATAAATATATATGTGTGTACAAAAGAAAGAAATGCTAAAAATAGATTATCTATTCCTACTCTTTAAAAGCACATGGTGACTCTCACTGTTATGAATAACCTGATTTGAATATTGCTGTTCTCAAAGGTTGATGGGAATACAGTCCCATCAACCTTTGGGATGTGCTGATCTATAAATGATTATTGATTAAATAACCTGCATAAAAATTAATATAGAAACAATTGTGTTGCCTTGTGCAACTGACCTTTCTGGCAGTGCCTGCCATCGTACCCTAATGGACAGTCACACTCATATCCATCCCACTTTGGTCTGCAGGTTCCACTGTTGGCACAGGGACTTTCCACACAGGGGTGTGCAGAATTGGCTACGTTAACACCACCAGCAGTAGCAGTTGTTATTGGGATGGTGCGGTCATTCAGTATCAACTAGAGAGGAAAATTTAAATGAAGTGAGATGTAAATATGGTGTAAATATTCAAAAAGAGTGCTCTGTATATGGATTATATATAACACTACCTTCTGAATAATTCCAGAGAAGGGCTTGATTACACCTGCCGTCCTCTTGGTTTTATCATATTCTGGTACTCCTCCAATATAGAGAGGGGAGCTGCAGTTGATCTGAGTAAAAGCTCCCTGAAGGGAGAAAGATTAATTATCACAACCGTTCATAAATAATCTAGTTATGCCATATAAATCATTATACTAGTGAATATTTGTGCAATTCTGGTGAGGTTTTGCCAATTAAATACATTTATATAATTTCCAGTCGGCACTTTAAAACTTGTAAAAGATGCTGGAAAAAACAAATCACATATAACAGAGGTTGATTTTTACCTTTGTATGTCATGAAAATGAAATGTTTTTGAAATTGAATCAGCCTGATATTTTTCTCTGGAGGTGGAGGGCCAAACCAGGGCTACATGACAATTAAAGATTACACATTCAGAGGGTGACTTCAGTGGTACAGTCATATTGCTTTTCTTCTGCTATAAGTGTTTGTAAACTGCCATCTGCAAATAATAGTGTGTGAGTCCTCCATTGCAGAGGTTATTGTAACATTTCTGCCCTCTTGTGGTGAAAGATTACACAAACCAGCTTTGTGCAAGAGTTATGGAGACAAGGTACCTCAGCAATTCCTTCCCTTGGCCTCTGGCTGTCCACCTGAAGGATACCACTTTTTGCTGTACGAGACACCCTCAGCTCATGCCATGTGTCCAGACTGATCTGCTCCTCACTCCTGTAGCACAGATCATCACATTCAGTTTAAAACATCTACAACTCATAGAATAGGAACATAAAACACACAAGAAAAGCAGGAGATCTGTCCAGCACCTTATGACTGCTCCTCCAGAGCCGCAGTCAAATCGGAACTCTATGTATCTGTCCACCATGTTTATAGCCAGGAAGTCTCCGCTGCCTGCGTCATCACTGTACAGCAGCACCCCGTCAGGCATTGATGGTCGAAACGTCATCTCGAACTCCATGAAGGACAGATAACTCTGAGAGGATTGAGGCCAGGGGATGACAACGTACGAAAACACAGTCTCATTGAAGAGTGGTGAGGACAGAGAGAAACCTGAGGAGTTTGAAAAGAGGACAAAAGAAAACAACAGCCGAGGGGGTAAGAAGAGGGATTTTAGCCATGGGGTTAAAAAAAGACATTTTGTATTAAAAAGATGAAGAGTGAAGAGGAGGAGAATTTGATGAGAGCAGAAGAAAATGGAAGAGAACACATGGGGAGAAGGGAAAGGAAGTGGAAGGTTATATTTTCTGAAAGCTGGTCTGACATTTAAGTCCCTCGGTGCCTCGATAGAACAAATAATAATCCTCATCTCAACCAATTTTCTTAATATTGCATTAAACTGTTCAGCAATTACCTTAAAAGATCTGTGTGACAGTTTATGACAGCCACCGGGTAGGATCCAACCGCAGGGATGTCACTTACTGCATTTAAAGAGCTACAATCCTGGCAAACAAGCCAAATGTCTGTTCTATGCGTAGGTTTGACAAAAAGGGAAACCGGAGTTGACTCACTCTCTTCACAAAGTGCTCCCCTGAAGCCGAGCGGACACAGGCAGATGTAGCCGTCAGCGCGGTTTGCGAAGCAGATGCCGCCGTTAGCGCAGCTGACCAGGTCACACACGCTGTCGCTGCACTCAGCTGGTGCAGAGCAGTGAGAACATAGGAGGTAATTAGGGTCAGACATAGCATTTATATCTATACCAATGACTTTATATAAAGATGGACAACATGATAGATCCCCCAAAATGACAATGTCAGATTTTAATAAGTTATTTGATGCTGTAAAATGAGGTGAGACATCCTAACAGAGAGCTAAGATCGTCTTTTAATTGGCTGATCACGTGCATTGACAGGACCTTGATATATATACAGTATATATGGTGGTTTCAATGGGCCTTTAAAACTAATATAAAACTACCCAACTGAACACAAAAACCAAAACAAGAGAACCAGCACACTTTCAGTAATATGGATAAGAACACCACTGGCAGCCGCCAAAGACAATTAACACTCACACACATACTGTTTTCTCACCTATATCAGCTCCACTCAGAGCTCTACCCAGAGGCCACGGCCTGATGTCTGTGGCCTTGTTGTTGATACTCAGACTCTGAATGCAGCCGACAAAGCCGCGATTTGTCCCCGTCGCCCTGACCAGCCAATAAGCACTCGGTGCTCCTCCCAAATACAGTGGCGAGCGGAAAGTGATCTTCGTGTACTGGCCCTGAAAAAGCAAAGGAAACACACAACACCCTTTAGTACTGGACACACAGTCTTTAGTACTTGGACTTTCAAGGCTGTCTAATCCCTGAAGACGCTCATTAATATTGGTTCCTTGGTAATCATCTCTAGACCAAAATATAAAGATATACAAAATGCATAGAAATATCAGTATTTTTTTAGCTCACTTATATGATCAATTTAATGGTGAACTTATTACAATATACTCTTTCCATCATCTACCACAGCCTCTATCCCCGAAAACTAACCAAACATGAAACATATGATAGTATATTTTCTGTATGTGTTGTTACCTGTGAGCGTCCAGATATTGGGGTGTCGTTGTCCATACGAAGCCAGCCACTCATGCCGTCTCTGAAGACAGTGACCGTGTGCCACTGACCAAGAACAATTCGACTCTCACTGACTATCTGAGCAGCTCCGGTGCCACAGTTAAACCTGTAGACACAGAAATCAAAGGTTATCAAGCCCTTGTGGTTAGATGCAATCTAAATGCAGTCCATTTATGTAACAGCTCACATTACACTGAAGTGTTTCTTTCCTTGGAGAATCTAAAGATGTGAGTCACTGTCCTCCTCACCTGTAGTGCAGCTTGCCTCGTACCAGGGACAAAGAGGTAAAGTCTCCTCGGCCCTGTTCGTTCTCTCCACAGTACAGCAGCAAGCCATCCTCCGAGTCTGCCTGCACCACACACACACGCTGTTTCAAATACATTTTCACCATTGTCAAGTTGAAAATAATTGTGTAAAAACAGCACATTATCTTACCTTGAACTCCAAAGTGATCTGAAACGTCTGGTAAGAGTTTTTTAAGGGTTCAAAGGTCATGTGAGAGAAGCCATGGAACCTGGGAAAGTTCACTGACACCACTGAAGAAGAGGAACAAAAGATACAATCATAATATATTCATGAGCTGATGCAAATAGGTGCAAAAAAAAATAACTCAACCGAAATTCTCTCACCCTCAGAGCAATAGTCTCCTCTTCGTCCGAGGTTACAGTGGCAGCGAGAACCTCCGCTGTCAAAATCACTGAGACAGAAGCTGTCGGGGGGGCACACGGTGTCATCACAGGTCAGGTCGTACACACGAGGCACGTCACCCTTCCAGGGGGACATGGTTGGTGTGGTGGTGGTGGGCGGCAACGTGATGCTTACGTGGATTCAAACAAGAAGGACGATGAAGATAAAGATAATGCAGATATTTTACTAAACAAAACAAAGATGATGATGCATTTGTTTTTAGTCACTTAAACCGAGATTATGAAAAACGCCTTGCAAGGAGCAGATTTTTTTAAATGAACCTCATGTGGACGTGGAGTTTGTTTTTTTTATTAAACTGAGTAAAATTATCTGTCCAGAAAAATATTCTCAGTAGTGCAGACAAGACCTTTCTGTTCAATATCAGTTGCTAAGTTCAAAACACTTTCCATGTATTTATTGCAGTTCCATCACCAGGTTCATATAAGGATGAAATTAGCTATTTTTAAATTGTCCTTTTATACCCTTTCTTCCTCAGGAAGGAAAAAAGTAGCAAAAAGCGACATATTCACCCAAATGCCCCAGTAAATGACATGATGTACATTATAGTCAGGCAGACTGACGGCTTAATATATGTGATATTTCACTGCCAAAATCACCATCTTTATCAAATAATTAAATGAAAGAGCATGGAAAATAAATTGTGGCTTTTGTAGAAAGCCAGGAGAGTCTACAATCTAGCCGTGATTCTAGACGTGACTTTGTTCAGATAAAAATAACTTCTTGATAAACATGTTTTTTTTCTCTTCATCTGCAAACACAGTTAATGTTCAATTTGCCCATAAAAGGCATCACCTTCTCCAGTTACTGATGTCTTACCAACAGTACATCACCAGTACAGTAAAGCTTACAAAAGTAAAGCCAGAGACTTTTGGGATACATCTTACCTGGTGGTGGTCAGTGGGGCAGTGGTTGTGGTGTCGAGGGTGGTACTGGGCTCTGAGGTGGTGTAGAAGATCAGATCTGTGAAGTCTGGGAGAATTGGCGCAGCAGTGGTGGAAACTGGTGGGGCAGTAATGTTGGGAGGAGCGATGATGTTCATACGGTAAACAACGTTCCGACCAGATGGCGGACCAGAGCGTGAGCGGAGCTGGGATTTCCTGTTGTCTGCATCATTATCTGGGAATGTCTTTAACTGGGGGGGGGGGCAAAGATAAAAAGGGGAGTACTTTTTGTATTATGAGTGTCAGTGTGTATGGTCAGTAGCTTATATGACGTCTTTGAGAGCCAAAATAAACTTTCAATTATTACCATCCCACCCTCTCACGTAAAGACTCACCTCCTCAATAAAGATGTCATAATCAGAGTCATCTACGTCAAAGCCATCGTCATCTTTGTTCCCAGAATCTGTGATGTACCGGCCATAATCACCACTGCCAACGTCTGATGCACCTGTTAAGAATGACAGTGGCGGTTATTACATATTTGAAAGTGCACAAGTGGTGATATTGAAATGATTGGATGGTCAAATACAGGTCATGAGTTAAAAACAGTTAATGTAGGTCATAAAACGACACCATTAGAAAACCAGAAGCTGAGGGAGTGACAGTGCAAACGTACAGTAAAGTCCAACTTTACTTCATATTGTTTTGGTAGCATGGATATGGATATAGAGTGAATTCAGTTTTTTAGGGAAGGAAAATATCTGCAGAGCTCAACACAACCTTAACAGATGTCATTAACTGTTGTTGTGATTTAGCACTATACAAAGAAAATGTTATTGAATTTAGTCATGTCTGGTTGCTCTGTCAAAGCCAAGCACTTCATTGCCTTTTTCACAGAATTATCTGTAAGTGGCAACTGGCAGGCAAACACTGATCCTCACTGGTAAAGACATCTTTGATTTCACACAAATACTTCGAGACCATTGATGGTCCAGGTTTGGACTTTTGCCTTCATCATTTGGCCTAAACGACAAGAAATAATGACTGATTCACTGAAGTGAGTGTTGACGAACAATGGCCGACTCTTGGGTAAATGTTTTCTTATAACGAATGATGATGGAGTGGCAAATGTGACCATGCCTTGTGATAATGATGATGATACATAAGACAATAATGACACAGTTCCTCAATAGGTCTTTTTCACAGAAGACATTTTGACATGCCAGTGCAGATAATACCACAGAGCCCTGGTTAGTGTTACGAGGAACACCCAGGCATGTGCTACAGTGAGAATAGTCAACATCTGCTGTGATGAAGGCCTGTGAGTCTACCTGTGAACCAAGGCTGCTGCACCACGTACTGAAAGGTGTCTCCTCGGTACAGAACTCCGCCATAGGAAGCTCATTGTGTATAAAGACAAAGCCAGACAGTGAAACCAACTGCTAACCAAAAACGTGATATTTTGTAAACTTTATATAAATTATTATGAATAAAAAAATGTAATTAAAAAATGTATATATATTCGTGCCAAATGTAAACAGAAATGCATATTCTCTGCTTTGTTTACTCTGTAAAAATGTTTTTTCATAACTAATCATTTGGCTATATTCTAATTCAGCTACTTTCCGTAACCCATATTCCTCCTTACCTAAATGTGTGTTTATACATTAAGTGTATGCATAATGTCTTATATATGTAAAATGCACGTTTTGTATATTTTGCATCAATTTCACATTGATATAATGATGTATTATAAGTTTAAGATGTTTAAAAATTCTACACAAAACAATGTGCATGTTCAATGTAACGCCTCTCTGCACCATTCACCTTATCCTCAGGACGCTTAATCTTATCTTACATAACAGCATCTCCTCCCTTCTGTCTCCTTACAACTCCTCCTCCTTATCTATCTTAATTCTACAGTATCATTCCTCATGTAATGATGTAAAGTGATATCTACCTTTGCACATTTCTTTCATCAAATATCTCACGGAAATTTGACCTTTAAGCTTAAATTGATGCCAAGATTTAAAGTGCTAATTTGTTCTGCCTAATAACATTAAATCCTGAGCACAAAGAGCTAGCATCCAGGGAGGTGGGGGTCACCTAAAAAGAAGAAAAGAATCCCCCCCCCCCACAAACTAATCTACTGTTGTGTAACAATCCCCCTCAATCCATACCACACTGTTTCTTACCTCTATGAAGACACACACACACACAAAAAATTATGTCAGTCACTCAACACCCACCCCCGCTGTTCACTCAAGAAGCGGTGCATTGTGTGCCTGCATGCAAGAAGTGTGTGCATGTGTGTGTGTGTGCACATTCATTAGGGGTGTGGATGGGCAGAGAAGGGGTCTGGCTTCCTGTCCTTAATCCTGTCTGATGAGACTCGAACGTAACCCGCTTTTATCCCCTGCTGAGAAACCACGCTCCTCTATCTCTTCGTTCCTGTCCGTCTGTCTCTGTGGGTCTCTGACTCGCTTGATTTATCTTGTTTCATGTAACTTTCATTGACATTATTCTCAGCTTCTTTCATATCACCTCTCCCCTGTCCGACTTTGTAGCTGAGCTTCTGTCTCGATCAGAACAGTTTGATATCAGGTAATGTAGCGTGTGAAGCAGTGTGGCCTGAATATGTTTCTCTAAAATGCCGGTTAACTTAAAATAATCATATACTGTCACACTCCTAAAGCAAATCAATCATACACACACAAATGATGCCTCATTGGGTCCAGGCTTTGGTCCCCATGAGGTCTACTGGTCCTGACAAGGTCAGTGTTTGTGCAGGAAAAGGTCCCAAAGCGATGATGAAAATGAGTACACAACACACACACACACACACACACACACACACAAATCTGTATGTACACTGATTGAATATCATGGCCATCAATCCATTATGACATTGCTAATACTGCATGTTTTTGTGTCTGTGTATGTGTAATACACACCTGTGTGTGTGTGTGTGTGTGTGTGTGTGTGTGTGTGTGTGTGTGTGCTTGTGTTTTAATATCAATCAGTCCTGACTGTTCCCCTCCCCCACACACAACCAGCAGCTGACTACAACAAAATAATAAAGTAAATGACTCTGTTGCTCTATATTTCCGTCAATCCAGAGCAACAGCCAGAAAAACCCACCGAAACACTAACAGGTGCTGTCCTACATTCAAGTGAACACTGAGAGAGACAAACTGTGCAACTGTGCACAGTTTTTATGTGTTAGAACCTGTAGTACTTGTCTTATTCATGTTCCTTTGTGTTTCACTTGGATGTCAACATCATCTCCGCACTATGATTTGAAGAGGTTTTGTGAACCTTGCAAAGACACTTCTGTTCCTCTGTTAAACACTCTAATTGCCATGTTTGAAAGGTGCTATTAAGATAAAGTTGCCTTGCTTTGCTTTGTCATGACACCTTTATAATAGCAAAAATATGCTTCATTTCCAAACTAAAAATAATTAGCCTCATGTGTTCAATTAGGTAGGTACAAAAAAACGTGCATAAATAATATAATAATAATATACATGTTATTTTAATAGCACTTTTTAAAACACAGTTACAATGTAAAATACAAGTTAAAAAGTGAAAAAATTTAAGGGAAATAATATGATCCAAAGAGGCAATCAAAAAGATCAAATCTGCTGGTGATACTTGTAATAGTTTGGGTCTGCGATGCTTCGTTGCGGCTGCAGCCTCCGCTCTAACTGAGAGAAACTTTGTTCTTCATGCTGGTGGAAAAAGTAAGTGACTGTTTCCACAGTAACACTCAGGTTTATACATCGTGGTTGAACATGGTAAATGTTTTATTGTGATTTCATGCTGGATATTTTTGTAATGCTGCTCTGTTTAGATCTGAGTGGGTGTATTGTTGAAAGTAAACGTAGTTTTTCAGATGTGATGGAAACCAGACTGACGAGGTGCCTGGGACAAAGCTTTCATCACAAAACAAAATATTTTCTTACCTAGAGTGCGCACAGGGTTGTTGATGTTGCTGGGTGGGCTAAGTCCATGCACGTTGACTGCCCTGACAACAAACTGGTACTCCGTCTCCGGTATTAACCCCTTCAAAACCATCGAGTTAGTCTCAATGGGCTCACGAATATATGTCCACTCCGTGTCCATTTCTGGCCTGAGGAGAAGAGGACATGCATTAAAACACAAAAACATAATCAAATGGATCATTATACATGTTTCTGTGGAGTCTTACAAGGGTTAAAGGTCTAAAATTCAATCATCTGAATTTTAGGCATTTAATAACTTCAAGTTCATTCAATGATGCTTCTGTTGAAGTTTTGAAATGAGTTTTCTTTTTTAAGAGAAATGTTTGTTTTCTTGTTGTTTTGTGTCAGCTATACAGATATTAGCATGTTGTAATTAAAGTACAAACAAGACCAAAATGGAACTGATAGCCAAAGTTTCTATGTTTTACATTCTGTTTTCCACATTTAACAAATCATTGGTGGCTTTTAGATGATTATTCCCCCTAAAATCACAAGAAAAAAACCTCTTCAAAGTAATTGTACTGAGAATGATGAGATGTTTTTGTGAAGGATGGATGTTTTGTTCCTCCTGCTGTTCCATGGACCTGAACATGTGCAGAGAAATGATTGCAAAGGAAACAATTACTCAAAGTTGTAGCTCTGAATAATTCAAAGCGAAAAAAAACTGATAACTTCAAACAAAACAAGCAATTAATTGATACGTTTTTGTTTGCTCTGTGTTACTATTTTTTAAGGCCCTTTAAGCCTGAAAGCATTTTGCAAAATGTGTCAAGCAAAAAATAAAAATGATGAACTCCTGAACTTGTTCTTTATTTCTGTGGCTTCAATCTCCAGCTGCTGTGTTTGTGTACTGAATCTGGGCGCCTGCAGCTACAGCTATCTGCTGAATAGAGTCGTCTTCGTCACCGCTCAATGTCTCTCTTCAGCAAGACCTCTTTTGATGTGAGAGGAGAAAGATTTGCCGATGAGATGGCTCTTTTGTGTGGAAAATGCCCCCACAAGCAAAAACAGACACTGATTCATGTCTGCTCCATCATAGTAAGTGACAGTGTCCCTCTGCCTCTTTCTCTCTCTCCTTCCTCAGTCACAGGGTGTTAACTTTAAACCATGAAGGCGGTAGTACTTTGTTTTTAATGCTTGTTTTCTTTTATATTCATTAAAAAAAGAATTGCGGCAGCATTTTAAAATTCAGTCTGCCAATTTTATCAAATCATTAGATGACCCTGGGCCAATCATTTCTGACCTCAACTTCCTCAACGTTGTAGCCAGAGGACTTGTTGAAACATTGGAGAATTGTGTTTGTGTGTGTGTGTGTGTGTGTGTGTGTGTGTGTGTGTGTGTGTGTGTGTGTGTGTGTGTGTGAGTTGTTGATGTATTTGAGGCTGGACATGACGAGACAGAGGCTGGTGTTCTTTCTGTCTTATGTCCCAACTGACCCTCATGTCAGAACACATATGGTTACACTGGACAGTCCAGCAAAGACCTCACGTAATTCACTGGAAAAGAGAGCAGTGGATTGTGTATTGCTGAAATGTAACAATGGGGGGTGCAGAGAGTCTGTTTAGTTATAGACTAAATGTGCAGTATATATAGAACAACTCAGATAGAAGCAGAATCAAGTTTAGAAAGAAATGGAATTCAAAGTTCATGATGTCTTGGTGTGATGCTTTATGGTGGTTTGTTTATATTTTGTCAATAAAGCTGTGTTGTGCTCAAAAATAAAAAGTAAAACATCCTCTAGCAATTATATCTATATAGAATATATGCTTCTCCTGTTGAACTCCACAGTTCCTATTAAATTCAAACCATTATTGTGTAGTTAATGGTTAAAAGACCTGATTCATATTCTACATCTGAAAAGATAGTTCATCATTTTGGAAAAGCGCTTAATTTATAATGCGACAGTTATCGTGCTAATTATCAGTATCGACTTATTTGAAAAAAATATTTATCTTAATATTGTTTTGGCCATTCTTACACCGGTCCTATTTTTATATTTCACTCTGCGTACAGACTCAAATAATGAGAGCTGAAGTTTTAATTACTGAACTTCTAAGGTGCTGGTAGGTGGATTTTGTTTCCTTCAGTCTGAACCAGCTGCTTCTGCCTGCTGCTGGTTCCAGCTGCACATTTACCTTACAGGCCTTTAGGAGGTAATGATCTTCTTATCTAACACTCAACTACTGCTTTGAGATACTATTATTTCAATGGCCGTACCATTACATCTAAAACTCTTGATAATGGATCTGTGTTGTTATCATGGTTATCATTAGACCAGTGTTGAGAGGAAAAGCTTTCAAATTGTTCTCTTTTAAAAAGCTTACCAATTAAAAGGATGAAAAGGAAGCAGGTGAAACCAGCTTTTACTTTTCCGTGCAGACCGATCAATGGAACACAACTTCTCACTCTGGCGTTTTCCTCCGTTATGTGAGCACTTCAGCTTTCAAATGGTTTGATCTTTTGCATGTTATTGTCCCTGTGAGTGTGTGTGTCTGTGCACCGACACAAACACGGTGCTGATGAGTTTGATGAGGCTTCATCAATTTGTTTTTCTGAAGGTTGATCAATAAGTTTTGACTGACCTGATGTAAGCCACCAGGAAGTGAAGGACAGGTGCGCTTCCTTCGCTTTCTCCTTGCTGCCATGACAACGCCAGCTCCGTGTCAGATACAGCCATGACAACAGGCTGAGTAGGGGGAGATGGGCGCATGCACATTTCTAACAGGAGTGAGATAAATGAAATTAATTGACAAGTTATTAATAAATCTGTGGTAGTAATAATAGCAACAGTTGTATAATAGATTCCTACTACTCCCATATTCTTACCATGTGAGGCGGTGCTGATGTCTCTGGGCATGCTGGGTCTACCCTCTCCTGCCCAGCCGTACGCTCCAACACTGACTCTGTACTTAGCGTTCACCTTCAGGTTACCGATGTCCACGTCCTAGAAGACCGTTTATATGGAGGAATGGGAGTAGAGATTCAGATAGATGAGGTAAAACAAGCAAGAACAAATCAAGGAATACAGACTTACTAGAACTGGAAGGTACAGTATGTCCAATCTATCCAAATGTGTATATAAACATTGACAGGGTCAAATTTACAAAAGTGTTTAAATGCTACTTACAAAACTGGCTTGTCCATCAAATTGGCCCTTTAATTAAAAAAAGGAAAAAAAGAGGTGTCCATAAATAAATAAAAAATAAACTACAGTGAGTATTTTCATCATAAAGAGACAACATGTCAACCAAAGCAACAGTATGATTTGTGTAGTCAATACTTTTTGGACAACAGGGATCTGTGGAAGCGAGGAATAAAACGCATCAGGCTTTGGATACACACGCAAATCTAGTTATAACATCACTGTTGGTTTTGGTCTTTTCATTGGATTTGTTGCCAATAAGAAACAATTAGAATATTGCCAACCTTATCGTCTAAATATTTTTCAAGGTAATGTTGCTACTGAGGTTCTGATAAATCAGCACTGCAAAGGTTTTGTTGACTATCACAGCTGAAATTTCCCTCACTGTCAAAACTGGATGTTGGAGGCTTTTTGTGAGTTTTCTTAAATTTCAAAGCAAGTTCACTGTTGATGTGTCATACAGAGAAAAGTACAGTTAAAAGCTTCTATATTCACTCACAGTGGTCAGCATGTCCAAGCTGAGAGGCACCTCCATCAAAGATGCTGAACCCGATGGATGTCCATTCCTTATCTCAGTGTAGAAGACCTAAAAAAAAACATTCACACATACAAACACTTATTTACACATTTTTTTAAAGTATACAGTCCTTTTCGTTCCAGTAAAATTATTTTAGCAGTGTTGGGTTTGATATGTATTCCTAACTGTTAAATCTGTTTCGTTGGTTCGTTGGAAGAAGGAACCTTCTCCTTTCCTTCAGTCATGTATGTGTAAATGTAAACATGGCTTCATCAGGAGGAAATACTGTGAGGAAACTTTTTTTTTTTAATGAGTGACTGGCTAAATGAACGCACATTTATCTGTGAGTCGTGGGGAAGCTAGGTAACTGACTAATCCTCTTAGTGTAGACATATGGTCAAAAGCACCACACACACAAACAACACATAAAACCCACACATAGTCATACTGATCCACACTTTGTTAATGGTTGACTCAAAACAAACTGGAGGGGAGGATGGAGGGAAGGAAGAAACTGGGTTATATTTCTGGGTATAAATAAATCAAATGTTATAACATTACATTTTATGTCCTAATGTCTCAACAGAATAAAACAAATACTGTCTCAGTATATTTGTACTCATACGTAATTGCAGCTCGCCTAGAACCTACAACCTCCAATGCTCCCCAACGGTTTGAGACCACATATTTCCAGACTATGTTGCCTCGGAAAAAGCCCAAATTTGGCCATGAAAAGGTTACATCAAAACACCAGAAGTTTCAAAATGCCAATCTAGCCCTCAAGGTCTACTTCCTGGACAGTGAGTTTGGAGAGCACTTTAAAAGCAGAACAAATATGGGCTCGCAGAGGAAAATGAACATCCCTTCAGAAACTTCATTTGTGACATACGTGAGAAATGGTTTGCCTGGTTAGAAAGCTTTTTATGAAAGAAAGGTCTTATTAGCAACATGTTGGGAGAAGCCGGCTACTATTTTTTTGTTCTGACGTGCTTTCTTTAAATATTTCTGGGAGAAAAAAATCTCAGAATTTTTATACGAGACCTTTCAAGGAAGCCTTCAAACTGAAATGGCTATATGATATATACCATACTATACTTTTAATGTTGAAATTAAATTGTGGGTTACACCTCTGAAACTGTCCACCAAAAACCATTTTGTTCACTGGCATTAATGTTATATTAAAGGTTATAGGTCGTGAGTGATGATTGTTCAGTCTCAGATGCTCATAGTTTTCACTGAATCATTAATTCATGTTAAATCACAACTTGTGAGAATACCTTGTATCCAGTGATGGTGCTGACGTGTCGCCGGGGCATCTTCCATCGTACACTGAAGGCTGTGCAGTTGATTGTCTCCAGCTGGATGTCTAATGGAGGACTCAGACGATCTGATTCATACAAACAGAAAGACATTGTCAGGAAACAAGAAAACAAGGAAGGAAAAAAGGGATAAACAAGAGGAAACATGCAAGTATAATAGTAATAATGCAGCTATTTTAAACTTTTAATTTGATGTATTGGCTTTAGTTTGTATTGAAACAGGCAAAATTACAGAAGTCAGCTCTTTTCTACAAAATAAGCTCTGCATGGAGCGTAGGATTTAGCTGCTAAGCCTGTCACATATTTCCCTCAGGACCTGGTGGAGGAGACCAAAACTAAAGTTAGGGGAAATATTGGACTCACATTCACCAGGTGGCCAGAAACATGACTTCAGTTAAATGAAGGGAAGCTTCAGTATAGAGATATACTATATAAAGAGATGGAGAAGTGTTACTTCCTGATGTAACTTCACCTGACATATTTGTGGATTCATTTTTATCAATTTTCCCTTTTGGTATTCTGCTTAAAGCTGAAATGTTGCCAAATAGATTCTTTTGGTTTTGCTTCGACATCAAATCCTCCATTGTGTTGGTCACCTCTACTCTCATCGCTTGATAAAGACTCCACAATCTGTGCTGAGACTGCTGTTGCATGGAAGTACTAAATGTTTGTATGCTTTAGTATTGACAACTAGTATTTTAAGAATGTATTTATAGATTTATATTTGATGAACATGGGTACTACCACAAACTTGCTCAAATTAATCACATGGGTTTTATGTATATTATTAAATATAATAGATAATGATGGGTAAATTATGTTATTGCCGTGTGCCACCCTTGTTGAATGCTATTGTTTATCCACAGCTGTTTAACTAACATGCTCCACACTGATGCTATGTTGATTTTTTGATTCCAGTTATTATCCAGTGTCCAGAAAAGTGTTATTGCAGCTATAATAAAGGTAAAATAAAAACTTTAACAAAAGAAATACCTGTCTGTTGAAGAATCTGGCAAAAATAACCCACGATATTTTGAACATAACCCTCTTTCTGAAGGGGCGAACCACAAGAAACCACTCGAGATGACATAACCTGTAGCTTGATGCGATGGATTATAATATCAACTAACTCTGACTTCAGATGTCATTATTTTCATGGTGTGAGTTATCAAAACCGGGCAGATTCTGTGGCACTTGAGGAGATTGTATTCCAGCGCTGAGCCTTGGCCCGAAAATCCTTCAGGAGGCTCTTATGGAAGCAAGAAAGAGAAATAACATCATTGGTGCTGCTGATATATGCATTACCAGGCTTTAATGGAGAAACACGGGCACACAAGACCACTCAGAGCTCATAGTCATGTGTCACAATAGGGACACGTGGATGATTGCTACATTCAGCCCATTACAAAAGCTTCTCAAAATTATATCAGAAGCTGATTATTGTGTTACATTCATTTATATATTTACTTAATATGAGATTTCAGATTAGATTTTTTTATGACATTAAATATCTGTAGTTATCTGCAATTTAATTTGATGTTAATAGTTATATCTATCAGAGATTTGCACTAAGTTGGTGTTTAGTTCAAAGGCCAAATATTGGTGATGAGTTCCTTCTAAGTGACAAAAGGACATCTCTGGTTTACACTGACACGGAGATCACACAAAACTACATAGAGCAGAGCAGAAATCAGAGATCTGAAATGTCATGTAGCTCCTGCACTACCACTTTCTTTTTTTTATTTCTCTCCTCTTTATTTCCTGTGACTCTCGACTTCAATAAGCCGGCCTTGCTCCTGTGCCGTCCTCCTGACTCCTCTCCTGTTGACATCCCTCCTCCTGTCTCGTGCCCTTCTCCCTGTTCTTCCATCGGAGCAGATAATTCAATATGTCAGCTGAATTCCCTGATCGTCCATGTCTCCCCAGGGGAGTGGCCCAGCGAGCGTACGGGAGAGCAGCAGAACTCACAGAATTATGGCGGATAGAAGGAGAGGGGGGCTTTCTCAAATCATTTTCTATGGCCATCAACATACAGCAGCTTACAGTAGTGCAAGATATGTGTGGGTACACATTTTAATAGTCAAAAGCCTGGAGTTAAATTGTTATCTGTAATCAATACGAATCCTGATAAGCTTAACAGCTTAAACCCCTGGACCTGGTGGATTATGGGAGGTCGGTAAGAGATTGGGTATTGATTCTGTGGGAGCCTCTTGCTGTGGCTAATGAAGCTGTTCTTGAGCTAACTGCTGCGTTTGATTGGCACTAGCCTGAAGTTGGTGTTTGAACACTTTTCTGTAATAAAAATAAAATATAGAATTAGTTTGTTTTGAATTTCCGAAGGACAGGACAAAATATGAATTGTGAAGGTTGGGATGACACCACCTTCACTCCAGCTGGTAAGATGCCATTCAGAAACACTCTGAACTCACTGATGTATCTTTAAGTGTTTTTCTCCGTGCGTTTGATTTTAATTAATGATGTGGGGTGACAGGGTGAAATATCACGATTGAAATCTGAGACTGACTCACAATTGTATTGTCTTGACCTTGATACCGTGGCTCTACTCTACGATCACAATTGTGCCGAAAGTGTTAGATGGCAGCATTTTGGCTTTTGTACAAGGGGAGGAAGTTTGGACGTCTACATATGTAACAGTTGTGCACATCTAAATTTAGAGTGCTTGTCACACCAATATGATGTGTTGGCATTGTGATGCGTTGTGTTTCCACTTCCCCCACCTCAAATGTCTCTTTCACTTTGGCGTGTAGGAGCAGTGTCGAGGGACAGCAAGCCGCCAGGTCAAGTACGAAGAGAACATGGGTTGCTTTCACCAAATGGTCTCAGCAGCGATATGCACGACTACGGTAAGCCCTGAGGTCACCACCTGATTTTGTGACCCTATTAAAATATGTACTAATTTGATTTATATGATTGACTGTTTGATAACATATAAAGACTGTTGGCAGGAGAAGGGGGCTGCTTTTGTCATGTCAGACTGCCTTGTTTCCAGAGGCAGAATCTAGTGATATTCACCACCCTCTATGCACATAGGTGAGGGTCAGAACAAAGACTAATCAATACATCAACAGGTCTCCCCACAATCAGGATTTGAGGTCCTGACATTTGTATGTCAACTTTAGTTGCAAATAATGTCACTGGACTCTAATGATCACTGTTCAGTGAGACCAACAAGGCCATAATGCCTTGAAAAAGCACAATTCAGATGAAGCATAAATCAGAAGGAGAACACAGAAGCTTCTCATATGTTACATCTTAGGCCTTTTCTAAGTGGAACAAACATGTGGCGTCTTTACAACATAAGGTTATGTGGTGCAGAGATGGCAACATCTACAGTTCTGTAATATATCAAAATCTAAATGTAAGAAATCTAAGGTGGAAGCACTGTCCAAATAATAACTCATCTAATACTTGATATTTGAGACTAATACCAATATCTGTATGTGACTTGTTCATTTCTTTTAATTTATCGTTCAAATAAATTAAAGAATTGGGACATTTTGCATTTCCACTTAAACTTGTCAGTGTGGTCCCTTGATGAACTAAACACAATTCCAAAATACAAAAAACAATCTTTGCCATACTGTAATTCATCATAACTTATTGGCTGTGTAAATATAAACCTTTTTTTTATTATACTGGTTGGTATTAAGATTTCATTGCTTCTGTCACATTTATGCCAACACTTCTCTTGTTTGTGAAGAGGCCACGTTTTCATATCTGTCTGATTCTAAATCTCCTTCATCAAGAAGTGCTGCTCTTTCCAGGTCTGAGTCATCCAGAAATGAATGAGCACAAAGAAGCGCGCTGTTGTGCTCTTCTGCAGCACGGCTTTGGGAATAACACAAACATTGAAGTGTAAAAATGAAGCAAAATCCTTTGATAAATAAATGACTGCCATTTCAAAAGTTTCTAAAATCCTGAAAAAGTGAAAGCATCTTCCATTTAAACCTTCTCCTACCAGTTGTGTTATCTGATTCATTGATATGTCAAACCCTGTTTACATTCCCCTCCTCCCTCAGAATGAGGCTGAGACCTCAAAACAAACAATAAAAAAAAATAAACACAATCACAAATGTCACTGGCAGTCATGGAGACAGAACTACAGCCGTGCTCGGTGTGGCAGTCTCGACTGCAGTGAGTTTTCTGCGCTGACAGCCAGGCGTAATAGTCGGCTTGTGAATTGCCTGTAGTTCCAAAAAGAGTGAGGGAGGAAGAAATATATCAGACAGACAGAGAGAGAGTAAAGAAAGAAAGGAGGGAAAGAAACTGGGGAGACAAAGAAGTGATCAAAAGGATAACAAAGAGATATAGACACAGGGAAGGATGCAGAGGGCTAGAGAAAGTAAGACACTGTGGAAATGAACAAGGATTTTCTGTCAAAATGAGCATGTTGGAAAGTTTGAAGATGGGAGTACTGTTGGATTGAAGGTTGTAAAATTTCTTAAGAAATTTGCAAAAAATAAATAAGGAAATAAAAGCTATTTTTACATGTCACAAAGTATCAATAATGTCCTTGTCACCTGAGTCCTACTCAAACCTGCCAGATAAATAAATGCTGTTAGCTTACTATGGTCAAAATGCAGTGTAATGATGCTCATCATTGAGGTGGAAATGGACAAAGTAACATGATGAACAATGTGTTTCATTACAGAAAATTAACAATTAACCAAACAACCTGAATTGTTATAAACTAAAGTTCAATAACTCAAGAAGTTGGTAAAAGTCACAAATAATGATGAAGTTTCATTGTGAATGTTATGTTTCATCTAATAATTCAAATGTGAAATTTTGAAACAAGCCGAATACTGCATTAACATAATAAAAGATGCACACATGGAAAATATGCTCCATCCACAAAGTTACAATATAGATTATTATTATACCTTCTATTATCTGGCTTTAGTTAATCAACTTACCAGATCTCCGAACATTTGATCTTCTAGCACAAAGGCAAACGCTGGCTGTGCATATTGCAAAGAGAAGTAAGTAAAGAAGGTTCCTTTCTTTACATGTAGATTCCATGTCTTCTTCAGATCGAAAGTTTAACAACGGTCAAATGTTCATTTTACAACACATTCAAACGCGCCTGTAACTGTCAATGGAACTGATCCTTTGCTGTTAACCAAAAGTTCTCTCTTTAAAAAAAAAAAAGCCGGTCTTTCTTCCAAATATTTGGCTGCAAACACCAACCACAGGGCGGAGAACTGCCCGAGAGGAAAGGGCAGCTACGGTGTGACACTGATGAGATTACGGTCTGCAAAAGATCAGTGGGTTGGACACGTTCACGCACGGACACACAGACACAGTTCCCCGCGCTGACACACGACGGTGAGGGGCTGTCCCGACGATCCGCGCGTAATGCGCAATGACTAACGCAACTGAATGGTGGGCACCATCATCTTTTACGCACGAATCTCGCTTTCGTGTCACGCTCCGGTCCGCGTCTTAGACAGCAGCTGAGGTGGACAGCGAAGTGCAGGAACGTGGGGCCATTTAGAGCTAAGAGGATAATGAGCGTCTAATCCTGGCACTGGACACAGATGGAGAGCATGTATTGACGCAGGAGCAGTGGAGCTGCTCGAGCAACAGACACTCCATGTTGATATTGTGTGTGTGTGCGCGCGTTTGTGTGTGTGTGCGTGTGTGTGCGTGTGTGTGTGTGTGTGTGATTGACTGTTTGTGGGCACAACAATGACCAAAGGGGCAAAACAATGAATCCATTAATCCATGTTGGCCAAGCTGCTGTGAACTCATTAATAAGTGCCTGGCTGATTATTCAGTGTGGGGGTAACCTGAAGTACATTTTTAATAAGGGGAGGGGTGTATGTGTATGTCTGTGTGTGTGTGTGTGTGTGTGTGTGTGTGTGTGTGTGTGTGTGTAAACTTAAAATGTGCTTTTATGCTTGAGTTTGAGAGAGAGTAAGGGCTATCAAGCAGACACGCTTCAAGGGACTTTGTGGGAGCTCTGGGTAAAAGAAACCTGGGGGGGCTACATAAAACCAAACAAATTATTTATTATAGTTTTTCCTCCCCGCTGTTGCTCATGCTTGCTCAGTGTGGAACAAGTTGGATTTTGTGTTCCTTAAGATCTTGGACTTTTGTGCAGCACCCTGAGACAACTGTTTGTTGTGATACCGTGCTATATAAATACATTTGATTTGATTTGATTTGATTTGATTTGATTTGATTTATATTCTTAATCAAAATTATAAACAAGGCTCATATTGTGCACAGACATAACTAAAAGTAAACTATTACATTTTAAATGCAAAATCATAGACTGTAGATAAAGATGGACGACATAATGGCTCCCAAACAGTGAAGCAAAAGTGTCTCAATCTCCACCTCATGAATGGCAGCAGTATGGCTCATAAATCCCACCTACTTGTGGGTGGGACATGAGCCAAACTAAAAAGTAAAAATATGAGTCAAATCATTTTTTTTCACAAAGACGCTAATTTTAAGTAGTTCTGATCACACTGGTGTTCAAGTGTTCATTTTCCCACTAAGTTCGATCTGAATTATTTGATGTTGTAAAATAATATGGTTGACACATCATGACTGACGACTGAGACTGACTCCTGATTGGCCGAGTGCTTGTATCGGTGGGACCTCGCTACCAAGGCTCCATCACTTATATGCTACTGTGCCAGACTCTGGCCCCAAATGCGCAAGATATCAACTTTTTGCCAGAAGCCAAGTGGTAGGGGGCCTTGTTAGGGGTCCTCCAACCATGGCGTCGCAACAGTTTCCTGTACATATCCCAAAATGGTCATTGCTGTGGACTAACACCATCAGCCGTCCTCCGGGGCCCCTTCTCAGCTTGAGGCCTCAGGCAATTGCCTGCTTTACTTACCCTGTTGCCGGGGGGGTCAGGGTACTGAGGGGGCCACAGGTGCACAGATGTAGCACAAGATGACGATAATATTGGAAAACTAAGTGAAAGAATCATGGATTTTAAGGTGGTAATTGTGGTTGAGATATGTCTCAAAAATATCTGATTTCAAAGCCCCTGAAGCAGAGTTTGCTGGCTGCTGCAGTGTAACATATTCTAAAATGTTGACCATATTCTAAAATGTTGACCATTTAATTTGAGAGAAAATCACAATCGTAGCATTGTTGCACTTCACTGAATAGAACGTCATTACCTACCCCCAACTCTTGCTAACCTCCATGTGCCAAAGCTCTTGCTATAAAAGATTCATAGAGGACTGGAAACAATGCATATGACGGCATCAGTAGCTATTAACACTGATACAATGCATTTTCTCAGTCAAATTTGTCGTCAGCTTTGAGTATTAGCAATCTTGTGAAAATGACTTAGTACGTGTTTCGACAACTGTCAAAAAAAGCTAGAGCCTTTGATTCAGCCCGACAGTGTTTTACATTTTAACCTTCTCCTGTTGGTTTTTCTCATTACAGTATTCTATTATATTAGGGCTACCATGGCAGAAAAATCTAACCAGCAGCCAGAAACCATGCAGGCTGATTTGTAAAGCCATTTCCATTTGCACTCTGCTGGTCATCTTACTTAGACTTCATTGTCGGACTCAGAGATAATCTACCTTTATACAAAATGAGTATGCAAAATTCTGAAATAACACCAGCCCTCAATTTGTAGAGAATCATTTGAAAATCCTTTATCTAATTTAGATTCAGCTGTAGAAAGTCTCTCCAAGCAGATATTAAACAAAAGCCATTATAGTTTTACATATACATTACAGTCATATAACCTACATCATACATTCATCAACATTTCTCTGACTGCTAAAATTGCACTATTGACCAAAGGGGAATACTTACAGAAGGTGAATGTACTTAAGATGCCGTCATGTCGAAGTCACAGGACATTGTTTCATTTGCATCAATTAGGTTATGATGTGGCAGTTCTCATTTTTCCATGTCTGGTGCAAAAATACTAATCCTCTGTACCTGCATCTGAAAAGGAGAAGTAAAGAAAATAGGGAGTGGTTGAAAAGAGAGTCGACTCCATTTAACCAAATGTCATCGCTAGTTTTCTTTTCATAAGTATTCCTATCAGAATACCAGTTCATACCAGGTGTGGTAAGAGCTTGTAGAATATCTGTGCTTAGAATTGAATGAAGTTTTGACCCAGTCAGATAAAAGTCACAAAGAAGTTTTGCATTTTTCAAATTTTTCAAAAAACCAACAAAAATATTACTTGTCTTTGTTTGATGGACTCTTCTCGGACTGATACCACATCCCTCCTTCAAGTTTCCTGGAAATATGGTTGGTTAACAAACCAGCAAACACACAGGGGTGAAAACATAACCTTAAACATGAATGATTGAGAGACTAAGAGAGAGGGTGTATCAGGACGTCATTGTGTAAAACCTCTAAAAATGCAAACTTTCAACTGTAAACAAATCTATTCTAGAGGATCTTGACAGATTCAGGATGGTCATCACTGAGTAACTCACTGTGGAAGGGAAGCACGATGATGTGCACCGGCTGAGTGACAGACACTGATCTGCATGTCAGGAACACACTGGTTCCATCTCCTGGACACACACAACCACACAGGAGGAGATGGGGACACAGAGGAAGACGATGACACTGATGGAAATGGAGACGTTCACGTTTCGGCCAGTGACAAAACAAACAAATAGTTTTCATATAACGTTGTCATAAAAACAGTACAACTATATACATTTTCTTTCATAACTTAAAAATAATCCTATAAACCTTTTCCTTCTGTTGAGCAAGTTTACTCAAAGCACAAAGGAAACAAGGTAGCTTCCATCATATCCTTGTTAAAGATAAGAAATGTGTTACTTTTTTATTTAAATATAAAATAAGCAAATTAACCAGACTGGTGGTTTATATAATTGTTGAACTCATTGAGAGGAACAGCAGCTTGTACAGTCAGTGACATGTTTTGTTTTCAGACTGTAGCAGAACTAATACGTTATTGTTCACCGCACCAGAGATCACTAAAAATAAAAATAAATTGATTTTAGTCATTACTTATGCTTTCTGTATTATATATTTTCATTGTAGTGTTGTGTAGAGAAATAATACAGGCAGTCACTTTGCAGGAAGAAAGAAAGCAACTGACAAGGAGGCAACTATATTCAAACATGAAATATAGAAAAAACAATATATTGCTCTCAGGTTTGATGCCCTGTAAAATGTATAACACATTGATAAACAGGGGTAAACGATGTCCTCTAGTGGCAGCTTTTAAGACCTACAAAATGCATGTGTGTGTGTGTGGAATCAGCACATCTGGCTTCAGTGCTTTGAAGTAGTAAAAGACTCATATGTTAAAGGATTGACTGACCGTAGCCTACTACCTACAAGATCTTTAGGTTTTACACAGCCAAACATGGACAGCACTTTCACACATTAAAGTGAATTGTTTGAACAAGTTATTGACATCCCTGAGCCAACTCCTGTTGGTTCTACTCAGCAGACAACCTATAATGCCTGCTCATCCTGATGTGGTGGTTAAAGCTGACCTGTGTGGCTCAAAACCAGCTTCCCCTGCTCCTGAACCTTGGCAACTGCAGGAAAATACACAAGCTCAGTTACTGTAAATTCATCTGGCATAAATAAAATGGTCATGTTGCAGCTCTGTGTGTCTGGATTCCATATATCCATTTATTCATTGGACAAATGATTTGATTTGGCAAATATTTGAGTTTCAAGTGAGGGACAACACTCAAGCTTCAGTACAGCAGGAGACCTTGGAGTAGACACTAAGTAGTAAATGTGTTCTAGAAGTATAGGTGACTATTCAAGTTTAAAGGGGGTGTAGATATGCTCTTTAGGCAAGAAAATCAGAAGCTGCTAGGATGGACTACGGAGCAAAGAAGATCCAAACTTTACACCAGAATAATCAGACACAAAGTCTCACTTTGGAAGGATTTTTAATTAAAAGTTCTTTAGAAAAAGTAGAAAAAATAAAATGTGCAGAATTACCTATCACAGTCATTAAATAAAACAATCATTCACAAATAAGTCTACTGTCAGAATCAATTTGACCCCAATTTCCTTCTCAGTCACGGATGTGAGCTCCGTCTTTTCACTCCAAAAGTGATTGTTCTGTTTGTACAACTGTGGAAAGGTTTAGAGAGCGTTGGTTATGTGTGTGTGTGTGTGTGTGTCAACCATAGTCTGTATATAAAGGGTGTCAACACAATCCTCAAAGTTCAGGTTTCCAATCCTCTGTGTAAGAGCCATTATGTAATGTATTATTTTGACCACTAGGGGACGTAGGCTCTACTGTATCTAGTTATTTCAGTGGAGCACCAGTTGCATATTGGAGCCAATAAGATGAGTTTTGAGTTGAAGGTGTTGCCAAAAGGAAACATACAGAGGACCTGATCATCATTTCTTTGTAAAAACTACACATCAAGAACATTCGTGACTCTACAGGAGAGTCACCACACTCATTTCTTGAGTTTCAAGGTCCACTCCGTTGGACTGTAGCTCGCCATCGAACATCCAACATCCGACAGTATTCAAAAAACCTAGATAAGGTCAGAACTCACATTCAAGCTTCTGGAATAATGAAAGTAACATATTGCAAAATCCCATTACAGACAAGAATTCATTTGTCTTTAGTTTTTGAGGGAATTGTGGTTACTAGAAGAACTTCTGATTAAAAGTTTACAATGATGCAAAAATATCTTCTCATTAACTTAACTTGGCAATATGCGTAATAAAGTTAAAACACCAAAAACAACAAATTTGTGTTGGTCATACCACACCTTAAAATAGCATTAATAAACACAATGCAGACAATTAATAACTGAAAAATGAAAACAAAAATAAATGACATAAGCCTCTAATAATTATTTTCTTCTCCACGTTCATCAGGGATTTGTCGTACGGTGCAAACTCTTTTATAAAGACTGTAAATGGAGGTTTTGTTTTCATGCGTTTACACTTAAGATGAAAAGTGATCCCTATTCTCAACTAAACAAAGTTAAAATGCACAACAAGTAAAACACAGTGAGCCTACACCATGAAATGCTACAAACTTTTCAACAAAGTTTCTTTCAATGTGTTTGAAATGTGCAGGTTTAGGATCTTACAATGATAAACATTCAATTCTCCAAGGATCAAAAACATCAGCCACGTTTACACATCACATGGAACCAAGATGTTTTCCCGCTTCAACGTAGCCTGACCAGCACTTTTAAAACAAAGGAACCATTGTATTTGTTAGCATTAGCAGCTAACGCGATAGCTATGGTAGAATCAAATCAAATAAGATCTCTCACCACCGGTGGGAGTTTTCCTGTGGAAGCAGCAGCGACAGTCCTCTGGTTCTAATAACACAGGTGACTTAAGTTCAAACTGTTTGAAGAAATGCTTTCACCAACTTTAAACAACTTTTACAGCTTCTTGACCCATACTGACAGTTTTCATTAGTGACAGCACCTGTTCTTCTCAGGTTGAACAGGAAGTGAACCTGACGTCAGGTGACCAGGTAGAGCTGACACCTGATTGGCTGGTTGATGATTTATATTTATTCTCCATCTGTTTGTTCATCAAATATAATTTAAACTCATCAGATTTCTCTGTAACCTGCTTTTCTATTCCACTGAAATGTTGTATGCTCTTTAATTAACTTGACATACATTAGGCATGTTTTGGTGTTAGATAGATTAAGTCTGAGTTGTTGCTGTATATGTGATATTCTGATTGCATTTATAGATTGTATCGCTTAGTAGGTCTATTGCCTAGGATATTGTGTGTTGGGGTGAATGTGATTGAAGGTACATGCATGTTGTGCCTCTGTTTTAGCTATGACTTGTATGATAACATGAATTTCCCCTTGTGGGATATTAAAGTATACCTTGACCTTGAGATAGATAGATAGATATATAGATAGATGGAAAGATGGATAGATAGATATAGAGATAGATAGATGGATGGATGGATAGATAGATGTTTCAGCAG